GTTGATAGTGTGGAGAAATACAGATGTTAAAATGAACTGTTAATAATATGCCAAACAGAGTTTAGTGAAAAAATGCACCTGGCTTTTGTGCTTGTCTGAAGTCCCTGACACAACTGACTATGGTTGTGTGGTCCCTGTATAGTAATATAGGTTCGTGCTGGAAAAAATTAGCAGATGAATTAAGAGTGTAATTAGGGCCAGCTGCTTGGGCACCCTAGAAATACACTGAACCAAAGGAGCAGGGGAAGGTGGGAGGACAGCTAGAGGGGGCACATTGCCAAGAAGGATGAAGACAGGGAGAAAGAAATTGATTTCTAAAAAAAAGAGAGGATGTAAAGTAGAGTATTAAATGGTGGAATGGGAGAAGAACAGTGAAATACAGGAAATAAGAATGTGAATCTTGAGATCTCTTGGGTGTTATCTAATAAAGGGAATGGTTCCTCAATTGCTTAATAGTATAATGAAGTGGTGAGTGCCTGTGCTGTGGTCACTCAGAATGAATAGATTTGCTTGTTTTATTTACAAACATGAAATAATTATTCTTTTCAATAGAGATTCAGCTGCTTGTTGTGGGAAGTGTGGACCGCACATAAAGAGCTTTAAATAGCTGTGTCTTCATCAGGGAGTTGTCCCTGGTGGCAGATCGACCTCAGTTAATGAGCAAAGGCTATGGCTTTTTGGAAAGATCTCCTCTGCAGCTCCACAGCAAGCATCCGTCCCGAACTTGAGTGCATGACCACATAAGGACAGGCAGCTGCAGCGGCAGCACATAAATATTTATAGAGGAGAAATGGGATTACAGAAACACTGTGTTCAACTTAACGAACTTATGTGTGGTGGATTGTGGAGTAAAAGAAATCCAAAGCATATTTTAACCCTGTAGATTATTTTCTTCATCTTCGTTTTTCTCAAATGTATAAACCTTTATCAAAAGGAAAAGACAGGTGTTAGCTTGATGGTCAAGGATGTATGAATATGATCCAGAGTTTCAAGACAAGGGCTTTACTACTATTTATTATACAGTATATGTACTTTTTATTTATGATTAGGTGCTAGTAATGTTATGACACTATTTTCTCAAATTAGCCTGGCTTTTGTGATCAATCAAGGCTGATACTTTTTTTTATCCAGAATCGCTAAACGTTTTTAAAGATTTCTTAATGATGAAGAATTCTAATCCCTTAACATCCTGATACACTGTATAGATACTGTATACGGTATATTGCTTTGTACTGTAAGTCCAGCTCAACTACTTGAATGTCAGAGGAAAAAAATAAGTGGAAGGGTTGATTCTCTGTCCTTTTTCGGTGTTGTTTATATACCCCTGGTTTCATTCTTTGCATTTGATATTTCATTCCTTTCATGAGAATCAGGTTTATCAGAATCAAGTTTCGTTCAAAATAGGCCCATAAGAAATGAAAAAAAGAGCAAGCTCCCTTGAGGACAAGCTAAATCTCCCAGTGAGTGTTTATGAAATTCTCCCATGAAGAAACAGAACTCCTAATCTCCTGGAATGTAGAGAACATGAGATCAGAAATGAAAAGAAGAAAGCAAAGCAAAATATCTTATAAGATTTGCCAAAAGGTGCATATCTAACCATATGTTCTTGTATTCTAATACTGAAGAATTGCAGCTGCACAAATCCTTACAAACATAAAACCTTAGACCTTTGTCAGCTTTTTGGCATAATTGACCAATGTGTCTTTGTAACTTGAAGGAGCTGTGTGGATATATTCACAGACTCAAACTATTAATAATAATTACAAAACTTTTGGTTAACATACTGTAATACACACAATACAAAATCTTTCACTAAAATGTGTGACATTTCTCAGGTTACATTTTGATTAATTTCCTAACTTTCTTGCACTATTTAAAACAAGAATAGCAGTGGCAAAGACCATGGTTTGTTTCACCTATTCTCCAAGGCAACCTGCCAACCTTTGCCTCCTTAGAAAGCAGGACTCCTTGTAAAAACAAAGAGCTAAGATGTGTCAACAAGGTCCATTCAAAAGCACAAAAGTCACACATTTAAGTAGTCCCAATTGAAAAGGTCATAACTTTGTAGCGAAGTGAAATTATTTATGATGGATTGGGAACAGCTCTTGAATGACAAACTGCATAAAAGATATTGGAGAGGACTGTACTAGGTAAAAAAGAATGCAATAAGACCAGCAGGGAGCATATCACTTTTCAGGGTCAGTGTGTCTTGGGGCCTGATTTTTTTAAAGGTCTGCTTGAGTGATTGCTGAGGTTTTGTTACACAGTAGGTGAGGTGCAGCATCAGGTTCTTATCAAAACATTGGCTTTTTACCATAGTCAATCAACTATGGCACTTAATTGTTTTTTTAATGCACAATTTAAAATAAAATAAAAATATCTAAAGAGCTTTGATCCCTCTCTCTCTGATTTTGGAACATCTACTCTAAGTTTGTGAAGGATTCATTTAGATATCAATTTAGGCCTTATAGTACAGATATTCCTGGACTGATATGGGTGAGTGCGAATGGAATTTTCCGACTGGTTGAACAGAATTGGTCAGGCATTGCCACGGTCAGAAGAGAATGAAGCTGGCTTCCTGTTTCCTGTAATGAGTTATAGTAATGAGAGTTTTCAAGGCACTTGCAAGGCTGCAGTTCCATTAATACTTCATCTGATACTTTAGCTTTGCTGTTTTACAACATTGGTAGGCAGTGTAAATAGTTTAATGTCCCAGCAGTACACATTTTGAAATACAGTAGGTATGTACAGTATTTTATCTTAACATTTTCTTCACTTCTCTTGTGCTTGCACAAAGCTGCAGGGGTGAGTGCAGTTGATTAAGAGCTGGCAAATAAACAGAATAAATGGGAAAACGCATAAACCATTGACAAATTATAACCTTTAAATTAAAATTACATTTAATGTATAGGTTAAAAGTACATAATTCCTGGTGATTGACCTGAAACATTTTTTTTCCGCTGTGGAATAAAGATGAATGTGTTTCCTACTGTGAGTCAGTCCTGTATGGGCAAAAAAGATGTAGTTTTACTCAGACCTATACTACCAAGAAGTGAGGGTTTGTTACAGTTTTTCTAAAATAACTGAAAAAATAAAACAACAATAACTCTATAAAACTGATACTACAGTATATCATAATTGTTTTGCATCCAAACAACTGTTTAACATGGGGAGTTTTACAAAAAAATACAAACATTACATATAAACACTACTGTACATTAAAAATAAATCTCACAATACATAAAAACATCGACCCATACATAGTCATTATACGGTACAATCCTCCTACAAGGATTCACACAGTTTACCAAGTTTACTTTCCCACAATCACCCTAAGCTCCTATAATTGCACAATACCCCTTCATTTTCACAAATAACCACTAACTGCACTTGCACCTAAACTGATACTCCTTTATTATGAGTTCATTTTTTGAGTAGTTTGATTGAACATAGGATAAACAAATTCCCCATTTTGTTATGTCTGCATTGAGGATCTCTAACATGTCTGTTTGATGGCACCAGTTGGTATTCTTCATGCAAAGCATGTGGGGTATCAGAGGAAATACTAATGGCTCTGTTCAAGTGTTTTGCCCCACTATCTTAGAATACATGCAAAGTGATATAAATCAAGTTTACCATTTACTGGCTGTATGCCTAAATCAAGATCCTCTCCAATGATTTCATCACAGTTTGCTGTGATGAGTTCACAGCTTGACATAAGAGGTATTGGCCTGAAATGACTGTGTTCTTTTGGACAGGTTTTCTTAGCGAGGGGTATAATAAGTAAGGTTTTGTATATAGGAAAAATTTGTGTCTACACATCTGGAAAATTGTTTGCCAATCTGGAGCTAATTTCCTTGTGAAGAACTTCAGAATAAATGCTGTGTATGATCATCACCAGTTGCCTTACAAACATTTGTAGACTGAAAAGTGTTCATGACTTGGTCTACATTAATGATAACCATGTCTGAACTGTTAAGTGAAATTTAATTTAGAAATTTATAACAGGAATTATAAATGTCTACTTTATCATACCTGGTGAAAAGCAAAACTTTAAATTTAGCTCATTTGAAAACTGAAGTTAATTATCAGTCATTATTCCCGTCATTTTCTTCATACTGTCCCAGTTTCTTCTATGGTTATTTGATTTAAATTAATCCTCCAAATGTTTTTTTTTTGTATATTTGGCTTTTAATTCTTTTTCAGTCACATTCATTTCACCAAAGCCCTTATTTTTGAAAGAGAATTTCCTCAGAATCACGGTATGTGTAGTGTCCTTTCTTATATACTGTATACACCTTGTTATTTAGATACACCATTATTTTCCTTTTTGGAAATAAAATGACTTTACACAAAAAATGATGTCACTGTTGTTATGTTATCTAAGACCCTTATTGAAACATGTCCCACTCCATACACTCAAAAAATAGGAGAACCTGTTTAAAGCATATCTGAGAGCTGTAATTGTATCATTCTTTTTATTGGGATAGAAGGAGGGCGGCATAGTGCCACAGTGGTTAACATGCAGCCTGGGGCCATAGAGTCAATTCCTTGGGTGCTATCTGCGTAGTGTTTGTATGCTGTGTTCATGTTGCTCTGGTGCTCTGGTTTCCTCCCTTAGTCCAAACACATATACTGTACAGTAGGTAGGTTGCCTTCTGGGAAAATTGTGCCTGAGTGTGAATGTGTGTGATTGCTTCTGTGTGTGCCCTGACATCCCATGTGGTGCGTATCCTGCTTTGTGCCCGCTGATTGCTGGCACAGGATCCCACTCCCCTGCAAGCCTGTAAAGCTATTAGATAATGGTGGATGGATGTATTTGAGGATTAGTTACAGAGCTTCCAGTAAATACTTAAAGGACAGGCAAATCTCTTAGTCCATTCCAATACGCTTGGGCCTACAGGTACAATAAGGATATTGTATGTTTCATTTAATATATGTTGATAATATTAATTTAATCTTTTTACATATTAACTGCTTTTCCCTTTTTTGTTTTACAGCATGATAGGATATCCAGGTAAGTAATTGCATTTTTTTTGTGTGTAACTTTCATTTACTGTATATCCATAGTTCTATGCTTTTATGAAAAGGAAAACACTTTGAATATGAAAACATAGTTCAATTGTAGTTTCTGAAGACTGACACCAAAGTAGTCATATGCATTAAACTACATATGCATTAATTCTTTTACAAACCTAATCTATCATGTACAGTATATAAACATTATCATGTCAATTGATCAGCAACTTGTACATACAGTATATTAAACCAGGGCATGTACATTTACATCATTCAAGGTTAGTTCACCATTTTCCTTATGGGTCCCTGTACTGCAGGTTTTACTAGGTTTTCTAAACAATCAATCAACAAATATCTGGCACAAACCTCCATTTGTAACCAATTAAGTCCATTATTTTATTCAATTAATTAATAAAACCAGTAGCAGATATATAGTTACTGTATCATCTGTGTTTTCCTTCATTCCACAATGCTCCCATCAAAAAGAGCATTTATCTTCTGTTCACTAGCTATTTCCTCATCTTTCCAATTACTCCAAAACCAACAGGGGAATGTGACCTCATAACCACCTCATTTTCTCTGAACTTTTCTTCAGAAAACATCTGGATGAGATGCTTGAGTCAATTAGGTACAAAACAGGCTAGATGGGCCTAATGGCCTCTTCTAATTTGTACCTATTTTATGTCCTTAAGTTAACATAACAACATCCCACCCTAGACAGACTGCTTTCTTTTCACACTTACTGTAGGAACAACTTGGGCGATCACCAGGACAATGGCCATTGCTGTTAGCCACTCATTTCACACTGAATCCCTCACATTTATTTCATTCTCTTGAGGTAATTGAGCTGAATGTATAGTTCAGAATTGTGTGATATCTTCTCAAGTCCATGATATAAGAACACGTAAAATGTTTAATTTGGGTTGAGGGAGCTTTCCAATCATGATTCTATTTTAGTCTCATTTTGTTAATCCAATGCCTGATTTTGGTTAAGAATTTTGCACCAGACATCCACAACTCTTAAAATAAAGGGCCTCCTATTCATAGACCTACAGTAAATGCACTCCTTTGAAATGTCAACTCCCAAAATTCCAACAATTCTGGAACAAAAGCATTTAATTTAAAACAAATTGTCTTAATTAGACAAAATAAAGACGCACCATGAGTTTTGAGTTTAAAAGTAATGAGTTTTTTAACTTTTTTTAAATAGTACAGTATGTTCAGAAATTGTAGTACCTTCATCAGCAGAACTAGTCAACATGTCTCTGTTTTGTATGTAGATTATATTGTAAGTACTGCATGTTTTATTCATTTTGACCAATTACTCTTTGTTCTACTCATCCAAAATAGCCTACTGAGTGTTTTTCATGTGTCAGCTCGAGGATACAAACCATACTCACGGGGAAGAATGAGGAAGTGTAGACAAACTCTTTTGACCTGCCCACATTACAGCAGAGCTATTTGTCTTTTAGCACAATGTAGATTCACCGTCAATTGGTGACGCTCAACCGTCACTGAAAGTACTGCAAGCTCACAAGCACCTCATTAGTAGGCTGCAGGGGCTGATGTGTCATTAATAGCTGATAGAACCCTGCTTACTAATTCAATCATAGATTTTGTTTTCTTCTCAACAAATTGCACCTCTCAACTCCACTTAGGACAGCCTGGTCACATTTTGCTAATGACATGATCCAGGCTTAAACTCACAATGCCTTGACCACAGCATAACATCACTTATTAGGCCACTTTGGGGGGGGGCAACAGGAATTCTGTTTAACTGCCCCTAAATTAATGGGAACCTGCCTTACTGCTTATAAACAGTGGTGTCCATGCTCTGACTCCCAGCATGAGACTAATACTGTGTTTAAGAATTTCGAGCATTATTTGCTTACCATTTAGATAGTTCACTATGAAGTTTAATACACACCATAGATGATAGAGAGGATGTAATTTAATTTTTCTCATGTAAAGAAACTATTTTGACCATTTCAAAGTCCTTTACCTTTACTGCTTAAATACAGAGTTAAGTGAGCTGTTTTGCTTATGGGTTTTAGGTTGTTTTCTAGGGGTAGAAGTACGCTTGGCAGTACGCTTGGCACAGCACCATTTTGCTATTAAGCAAACTTTTCACAACACGTGTCTTGAATTAAAATAATCAGGCTCATAGCAGCTTTATTTTGGAACACATGTAATGTATGCAGTAAGTGCATACTTTCAGTCTTGTATATGATTGTGTTCTTATACAGTTTAAATTGCTAAATCATTACCTTACTGTACATTGCATTATTCTTAACTACTGATGTTAATAAGATGGTTCATATGCTGCCCCCTTCAGGTTTTTCAGTTGTGGGGCAGAAGATCTACAGTATGTGTTCAGCTTTAGAATGACTGAATCTGCTTTCTCTTTTGAAATTAATAGATTTTCAGCCCTTGCACTTCTAAGGCTGTTCATCTCCAATGCCATGTCTGTTTACAGAACGGAAAGGGGAGTGTATTGTCATCAATATTGTCATCAGATGTTGACTTTGGACTTCTCATTCCTAAATGCAGGTTAGATTCCTCCAGCTCTGGAGACAGTGCCACAGACCGACTGCTGAGCCGAACCAGTTCCTACACCCGACGAGAGAATCGTTTGGCTTCACTGAGCAAGTCTGAGGAAGACAGAAACACCAAGGACTATAAAAAGGCATTTTACAGTTTATATTCAGCTGTCTTTTAAACCAACAGCCATGATTTTATATAAGATTCTTCACTGATGACCAATTTTATATAGTATTCTTTTTGAGTAAGCTTGTACAGATATGTGTGCAAGATTCAGAATTGAATGATACAAATGTAATGATTTTTGCTAAGCCTTTCAAATGTAGGTGCATGTACAGTATGACACTTTACGGTTAAAAGGAGTTCTGTGCAGTGGGAAATCGTAAGCCAATTTGTAATTAAATTATTCTCTTTCTTAGCAAAATAATGTCACTGGTAAAGGATGGAATCTAGATTCTAGATTTGCTTGGAAGATTTTTTCATTTACCACAGATTTAAATCTTTTTAGAGTAACTCGTTAGTTCTTGGAGATATATTATGTATAAGTATTCTATTCATCAGACAGCTTCCAACTACAGTTATAATATGAAACTATTTGTTAGCGTGAAGTATGTGAAGTTTCCTTTTAGAAAATGTTAAAGGTACCTGTTCAGTGCCTTTTCTCATTCTAACATCTGGTTGTACAGATGTACGAAGATGCTTTGGCTGAAAACGAAAAGCTAAAATCAAAATTGGAAGACAGCAAGAAAGAGCTCGCCAAGATCCGGACACAGCTGGATAAAGTCACACAGGTGAATGTGTTTGAGAGAGCTTACATTTTACTATCATTTACAGTATGTCTGGAATGCACTGCTGTTTATTCTGAAGCAGCGTCTCACCAAATGTTATCTATTAATGTCCAGAGTTAATAGATTTATTAAACTATCAAAAAAAGTAACTTTTTTTTAATCTGCAAACTAATTAATCGACAACTATGTGTAATCTAAGTAGTTCAAGTAGGCAGCTGCGTCAGCATGTGTAAGCTACACAGGAATGAATAAAGGTTCTTTCCATGCTGAAAAGAGAAGAAAAGAAACACGTTTCCCACGCCTGAAGAAGGCTCCACAGCCAAAACACTTTCTTTTCTTCTCTTTCGGCACGGAATATACTTTTAATTGCTCCTATGTGTAATCCAGTCAAGTGTCTAGTCAAATGTATGCATTTTTGTGTTTCACTACGTTCAGCTAAGGCCTTCCAGTATGTCATAAGTAGTTCACTTCAGAATGAAAAGAGATTAATATTACTGTATGTATTGTCTCCACAATGTAGATCTTTTTTGGATTCAAAACTCTGTCTTGTTACAGTAACTTTGCCACTTTTTGTTGCAGAAGCAGGATAGCATGTCTGAAAAATCCACAGTGTTTGAGACTGAGAAAAGGGTATTCACATTTTTCTCATTTTAATTCCTTATTATCAGTAAGGGTATATACTGAAGGATACTGTTATTTAATTTAAACCCTTTCCATAGTTTGACAAATGTTCATCAGTTGTTCTCAAATCTTTTTTCATATAAGCAGAATATTAGCACTGGCAAATGCTCTTTAAAAACCCAATTTTAGGTCTCTTTCCCTTCCTTTTCACTAAAAATGTAACTAAATTTTACATTTTTTGTTTATAACTTTTGTTTTATTAGTTAAATTATTCTTTAAGGGTTAATTCTTTCTGCAAGCTTGATGATTAATTTTGAACTGACTGTCTGGTAGAATAGAAAGAAATAATTGAGACTGACAACAACAGAGGCAAAATCTCCTCCTGATTCCGTGATATAAATTATTTTCTTACATCTTATTATTTTCTTACATCTTTGAAGGAAAAACGCACTCTGGAGAAAAAGGTGTCGGAAATGGAGGAAGAGCTCAAGGTAAAGGTTTTTACATTAGATGTTTGATAGATCTTAACAAGCATGTCCTCACTAGTGCAGACTAGTTTAGTTTAACTAAACAATAGCAAAATGAAGCATTCCCTGCCCTTAAAGAAGCATCATATTTGTATTAATTAAGAAAACAATAGGACAGAATTAATACTATTGGTATTTGCATGATTGTAATGACTTTAAAGTTAGTGCCTGCATTTCAAACACAGTTTTAGTATTTATTCACAGTATGCACACAAATACACACACAAATACAGTGCCATTCGTAATGTGTGCAGAGAGCCTGATAGACAGAAAAATACTATTAATTCTTCTTCATAGTAATCTCCAGCTTCATCTTGGCAACCCTTAATTGACAACTTTCTAATAAATTGCAAACATTGAGTACTAAGAGTGATGGCAGCCCAAAAAATCTAAGTATAACAGTGAAAAATAAATAATATTGTTTAGTTCTCATCATATCTTTATGGGTTTTTTCCAAATCTTTGATTGTAATGATACATTATATCATATTTTTACAGATAAAAAATACTATTGTTGTATTTACAAGTATTTCTCATGTCATGCTTCCAGTAAAGTTTCAAGAGATATGGAAAGGAAAGCTAAAAAATGATTTTGCTTAGTGGCCACTTCTTTGCATTTAATGATGTTATTACCGTTACTTCAGCAGGACAGCTCTCTAAGACTGTGGTCTCATTTTCATTAATCCTGGTGCAGGGCTTCTGGTGAGTGGCACAGAAAAAACTTAGACCTGCTTCTTGCTGCCACACACCCCTGCAGTGTCTGGCCATGGCCTGTCCATGACAAAGGCTTCTTTTTACCAGCCTTTTAAATCAACCCTCATACACACCACCCACGCTGCGTGTTTCTGATTTCTTTAGTTTGTTATTGTTATCCACTGTTGAATGTATTAGGTTCCTTTTAATTCACTTAATGATTTTCAGATCTTTTTCCTTAGGCTCAGAATAAGCTCTACATAGAAATCAAGCATTGTGTGTAATATATGATTAAGATAATTTAAAATCATATATAGAAGTTTTAAAAAGCATTTAAATAATCATTGGCCTAATTGATTTTAAAAATACTAAACTTATTGTAACCATGGAGCAAATTGTGTACTGGACTGAAACAACACGCAAAAAATACAGATTTGAATAAGGACACTGCTGGGTGGCACCAGCAGTGTTTCACTAGGCTCCTATCCAAGGCAGGAGCACAGGCATTTGGTTGGTAGAACTATCAAATCAAATCTGTAAAGGTTGTCTGAAACTGAACCAGCAACCAGCAGCAGTGGGGCCTATTAAGACGCTTAAGACTTAACAGCACAAGGCTTGCACATCAGAACTCAGGCCAGTTTGCTGTATCCTGAAATGACGCTTGCATGGGATTTCTAAAACACCCTTTCTAAGTCTGAAGAAATGTCAGATCACGCCAAACAGTATTGTAACCATGCAATGACAATTACAGTATATTACCAAACAGTAAAATGTGTCCATTACATTTTTCAAAAGATCTGAAATACATTTTTGCACAAGTATGTGGTTTGAACACAGATGGCTTGATGAATACTGTTCACGTCAGTGTTTCACTGATTAAAATGTAAGTCTTAAAGGTTGTGACCAATCCGAAACATATTTACATAGAGGCAATGGTCTCAATGCATGGACAAGACACTGGGGATATGTTTTTAGCTGCATTTTTAGTAGTCTTTTCTGGCTTGCAAGTCTTTCCAATTGACTATTTCATGAAAAATAATCAATTTGTTTATATAGCACACGTTACTCATCAATTTAATTATGTTTCTGTATATCATATGCTATTCAAGGGAAATAAATAAGTAAAGCATACAGTATGCCTTCTGGTTTGAGGAAGAATGCTTTGTCTAGGAGCAAAAGTTGATTTAACACTCTCTACTTTCAAAACAGCATAAGATGGAAAGCATAAGATGATTTCTAGTACTTTATATGAAAGAATACAAGTTTTAAAAAAGAGTCATCCACTTATCAGTCAAATAAAATTAGTTTCTCTGACAGTTTATTGGTGTAGGTTTTGAAATAAGTAACAGGAATGCATTGTATAATGTTTTAAAAAATAAATATTCTGTTGCTATTTACTTTCATCATTTTGTTCACAATACTGTAGCTTCTTTTGGCTAGTTAAAAGGATGGCCATTAGCTCATTACTCAAGTTTGTGTGCACTTCTGAGTTTGTGAGAGTGGAGTGACTGATGATTTTAACAGCTCCAGAGTAAATGTAACCAAATGGCCTCGAAGGAAAAGACCCAATTTCAAATGTGTTGTTAACTCTTGCCTATACTGGTGCCTCTGTTACCTTACTTAAGCCATGTTCCCATTGAGTGTGGAAAAACTGTGTATGAGACCATGTGTAAACCACCATATCATGAAAATACAGTGCAACAGGGAATTACTAGGGGCTCTCTTAAAAAGTCAGTTTTACAGTACATCACATACACTACAATACTTTAATGTTTCGTTGTCCTTCGATTAAAATAAACCGAAATGGTCATTTTAAAATGGCTCAGTGGCATGGTGGTACTACAATATGTATTGCTACCTCACAGCTCCAGGATCATGGCTTTGTTTCCACCCTCTGCCACTTGTCTGATTGAAGTTTGCATTTCCCTCTCATGTTTGTGTGGGAATTTTCAACCTGGGTGCTCCAGGTTCCTCCCACCTCTGAAGACATGCTGACTGAGTTTTCTAAATTATTTTTGTTTCTCAATTGCTGTGCATTGTTCTTGAACACAACAGTCATGAGTTTTCTGTCCCACTTTGCATTCTGTGCTGACCATGGCACCAATATAATGAACATTAGATCATTATATATTGTGAGGGCCAAACCAACAATCAGACAGTACACTCGAACCATTCCTGGGCCTATTGTTCCGTGCAAGGTCTATGCTTTCAAAACACAGTCCCTCACTCTGTGCTCTGTACACTTTGCTCGCTGCTTTTGTCTTGCCTTGTCCGTCCATGTTTTTCTCTGCCTGCTTGTCCTCCACTGTATCTCCCTCCCCTCCTCCTTTGTCTCATCTTTCCAGAGCCTCCCCCAGCTGGCACAGATTCAGACCCTGCGCTGGGTGAACGAGCGGCTCGTGGCAGAGAACCGAGCCATGATGCGGGTCATCGCCAAGCTATCCGAGGTCACCTCCCTGCCAGAGACTGAAGACCTCTAACCCCCACCCTTCCACTCCTCTCCATTCTTCCTCCTCCTGTTCCTTCACATGTCTTCTCTGCTGCACTGCTCTCAGGCAGGTCATGACCCCACACAGCCCCACACTATGTCATTGAAGGCTTCCTTTGGGCTGTACTTTTCTCAAGTCTCTCTCTGTGCTGTGACTTACAGTCTGATACTGTACATTTTTTTATTTTTTCCTTCAACCTCAATAAAGACAAAAGGTCCTATGTCTAAAGCTTTAATTTTGAATTATAGTGACAACCAAATTAAACCTACAAGAAAAATAAAAATGTCATGAGAAGGTAACACTTAAGTGATCATCCAAACCATCATGCTCATTTACAGTAGTTGCTAATATCCTCGATTTGGTTGCTGATCCCAGGATTTCATCCAGCTGCTTCTTAAAGGTGTATGAGCTTCAACAACATGGCTTGGTATGTGTAAAAAAGTAAATATTTTACTGACTGGATGCAAGCAAACCAAGCATATCTCATGGCACCTACTGTGGTTTTAAAAGGCTTTAAAACTTTGCTAGAAAACAGCACACTTGGTTTGATAGACTTCAACTACACGTTCTTTCCTTAATGACAGCAGTGCAAAATATTTTAGTCCTAAGGTTTTAAACATGTTGGTAAACTAGGACAATGTTTTAGAGTCTATCCATAGAATGAACATAAGGAAAACAATTTTCCTTTTTAGTAAATAAAGAATAGGCTCTTCATTTTCATTAAAAAGATTTAGCTTGAGCATACTGTATGTTAAATCTCATCAGATCTTCAAAAAATAAGTGGATTTATCCTTCTATAATTTAATGTCAAATATATGCCATCTGACCAGAAAAAAAACACTATGTATCATTGAGCACTGGAATTCAACTGCTTGAAAATGCAATCGTTTCTTGTAACTGTTTTTGGAAGTTTGTGTTTGTGTAACAGCTGTATTGTTTGCTAAAGATGTCTGCTCTTGAGAAACAATCCTTAAATGTACAGCAGCTGTCAAGCAATGGGATATTAAAATTACAGGCTTAACAACAACGACAGCATCTTTGCCTCTGAACTATTAATAGTGGTTTTGTGTTGTGCATTCCAGGGTTTATTGTATATGCACAGACAGTTGAAATTGGTTGTTGTGTTTGAAAAACAACTATAGTACCGATGACACTTGAAAAGTTCAGACAAAATGCATTTTACTTACCCCACTGAAAAAAATGGTATTTTTCTAAGGTTTTCTGAATTTATTGTGGTAAACACAAGGGGTAAAATGCTCTAAGGATATTTTAAAGTGGATTTTTCTTGATCAAATCATGTGTTTTTAAATTAATGAATGTATAATATGATTTATTTTATATTCTTTTATGGAGTATATTCTTGATCAAAGGCAATGGTCAGAATAACTATGTTTTGTTGCTGGTTGAATAAAAAGAACAGATTGTGTCAAATGCTCTCAAAGGTATTTCAGCAATGTCTGAAGAACAATCTGCTTGAGGAAAACCGAGCTTATTTGAAGTGTTTCCAGCTGCTGCTTTACAATCCTCCCTTTCTCTATCTGTTCAGGTTTTAACTGAACTCAAATCTGATAACCAAAGGCTGAAGGATGAAAATGGAGCCCTAATCCGTGTCATCAGCAAGCTGTCAAAGTGATGACTACAAGGCAGAAACGAAGGAGCTGCAGAGCATGCACATCCATGGCCATCTCACAGTCCAGTACTGGCTCACTATCACTCGCTGGCTCACCACAGATCTGCACCTGCTATAAACTACTCACACTGCTGTAGAGGATGCAAGGACAAAGACTCGTCAATCAGGGACTTGCTATAAACACATCTTAGTTGGAGTAGCAGCCAGGACTCTGTAACATTTTAAGTAGCCATAGCCTCAAGTTCATTTGAGCCCCTCCCTAGAAAATTCATGAAGACAGACAAACCCTATTAGAAAGAGTCACATACTACACTAAGACTATACAGTATTTCATAAAGATACTCTTTTATTGATTTACCACACAAGATAACAAAGGTTTACAGTGATTTTTATATGATATATTTTTAAATTATTGCCAAAGAAATGAGTGTTGAAGCTGTTTTGTTATATTAGCTAGAGATTACGTGCAGACATCTGTTCACGATCAGTATCGAGTGTGTACGGTACCAATTCTAATTTTTAGTCTACAGTACATATTCAGTTTAAACATTCAATAAGGGTGTTCATACTGACTATGTAATCTAATAAAATGATCTTTTCTGCTTGACTATCAGCAGGTAAGAGACCATGAGTCTCACTGTATTCATCCATTCACTTCATCCTACCTTTACCCTCCACTTGCTTTTCAAATTATCCATGATCATAAACCATTTCCAGAACATCTGCATTCCACAATCCTTCCTTAAAAGCTCCCCATTGATTGAAATATATCCAGAAAATATACAAATGTCCAGACGGTGCAAAAATCTCAAGATTACAGTACATTACATTGAGAGAAACATTTTACACAGGGCATGGAATGTATCATAGTTTATGTCAACTTATTTCAATTCCAGTTCTAATTCTGATAAACTGATCATATTACAGACTTGGATTTCACTTATCATACTTCTTAGGTTTGGCAGTTTTTCCAATATTTCATGTTGAAGTCTCATTAGTAGAATTTGAATGTACACTTCTTGATGCAGATATATATTTTAAAAGAAATGATTGCAGATGCTTCAAACTATTGCAAGATACATCTCAGCCAAAAAGTGAAACATTAATGACTTTCCATTTTATGTTTAATTATATAGGTAGAAAATGATGACATCATGATGAAGAAACTTTGGTAAAATTACAATTTCATCTTTAAGAGTATCTTTTAACACTTTTGCTTCCTGTGCCTTGCATTTGACTTGCAAAGAAAACAAGTGAAAACCTTCCCATAAATATAAAGTAAAGCAAGCCCCAGTGTCTAATATTTAATATGTATTTATGCTATATATTTGAAAATCCTAAAAATGGAATGTGACACATTAATAAAAAATAACTACAGTACTATACTGCTTTGCCTATTTTTATTATAAAGTAAAATTGTTCCTATTTATTTTAAAGCCTGGTTTTAATCAAGAAAAGTCTAGAAAGCTTCCATTTTGCCTACAGGTACACTGGACTGGTGTCAGTGCACTGTTGCACATGTTCTGAGATGTTCACAGCTAGCAATTTCTAACCTGGCAAGATACTGCAGCTAAACAATCTTGTAGACCACAGCACAGGATGCCTTTCCATGAAATGTACATAATCCAAAAGAGATGACCTGGGCATTAATGTCTAGTACAGAACTCTAGTAGTGGTGAGGAAACCTGACTGCACAGTGCTACATTGACCTCACCTGGTGACCTTTCTACTGACTGAACCCAGCAGATTAATGCATATCCTCAATGCTACAATGACTTTTTTGCAAGATGTGAATTTAAAAGGGTCTTTGAGAGAAATGGGGCAGAATCACACTAAGATTAGCACAATGCATCGCAGGTGTAAAGTTTACTTTGCTTCAAACAGTACTGGCTTGTGACCTTTGCAGTACTGTACATGTCCTGTTGATTAGACCCATTGATGGCAAATGTAATTAATTTATTAATGTAATTTCTGTTCAACCTGAATTCAGAGTACCTTCTACAAAATATTCCTTTTTTCCTTTTCCTGAAAACTGTTCATTTGAAGTGATTCATGTCTTTTTGATGTTAGTAGATGCAATATAAACTGATGGAATAAAGAAACACAACATTTTCTGGAATGAGAATACTATAGTTATAATTTATGTACATTCACAAAACATTGTCCATTTGTTTTAAGTCCTCTGACCAGCAATACAGCTTGTGCAGTGAGGCATTGCAACTTGCCAATCACATGAAAGCTCGTTAGGTGCACTTTTACGCAATGATGTCCAGGTGGAACAATGCCTGATCAGGTCACCTTTAAAAAGGCCTTAATTCAAAGATTAAATCACAGCAAGAAAAGTCCACACTTAGTCAGTTTTCTGTGCATTCCAAAACGCCTCCAATGTCACCAGAAGCAAGGAAGAGGGCCATTAGCATGTCATGTGCCAGCGTTGCCAGTAGCGTAAGCCGCTCCAATGTGTCCCGACCGCAGAGAAGGTTTCAGCAGACTGGCAGGACAGATAACTGTCCAAGATCCGGTCACCCTCAATTGACCACACCAAAGCAGGACTGACACATCAGACTAGTCCATCTGAGAGATTGTTTCAGATCTGCCACCCATACTGCTGCTGAAACTGCCGGCAGACACAATGCCCGCATCAGTGACAGGACAGTGAGGCTCCATGCTGCTGGCCTTAGAGCAAGGCGACCTGTATGAGGCCCTCTGCTCACACCTCCTAGACGTCACACCTGACTGGCTTGGGCCAGACAGAGGCAACGATGGACTCGCTAGCAGTGGCATCAGGTCCTCTTCATGGATGAGTCACTCTTCAGCCTGTTCTACGCAGACAGGAGAGCCAGAGTGTGGAGGAGGTGTTGTGTTTCTTTTTTTCATCTGTATATAGAGTATGTTCCTCAGTTTGTAAAGTGAAACATAAAAGGATTGGGGTGTAGCAACATGCACATCTTAAAGGCAGCTGTTTAAGAGTATTAATACTATAAGCTATAAGGGTACAGACCCAATGGCCTTTACTTACAGTGTGAAAGAAAACCAAAAACCAATTGATATATTTTATTTTTTATGGAGCAAGTAAAGGTTTATTCCATGCTGAAAAGAGAAGAAAAGAAACACAACGTTTTGGCTGTGGAGCCTTCTCCGGGTATGAGAAAGAGAGGAAAGTCTCTAAAACTTTTATTTGTTCCTTTGCAGTCTACGCACGCTGACACAGCTACCTACTTTAACTATTTTTTATATTTTATAGTTTATCTGTCTTAACTACAGTAGATTCAGTGCAGGTACCTAGACCATTTATGGATGAAGTTTGTAATGTTCCAGATCATTGAAAGCTTTGCAACTAGCCTACCACTTTTGTGAAAAAAAAACTGTACTGTATATGCTGGTTATATTTTCTCTACTGTTACACTGATTCTTCCCCACTTCTTACCATTGCACTTACAATAAGATCAAAGTTTTTTTCATTGGGCTCACATGTTTTCTCAATACAGCACATACAGACAAACAGCACTGTGAGGATGTACGGTATGAAGTCACCAATTTCACTCTTTGTTCATTTACTGTAGGACTATATAGTATTTTTAGGTACACAGATGGATGTCTTCAGCCATTTAAGATCCCATGGCACTGTTCTTATGGATACTAGTCTCAGCCACAGTGTCCTGGATAAATTCCACACGGCTTGTACAACTTTAGCTTGTGGGTGTCACGCCCTCTGTAGCCAGAGGGCGCTCCTTCTCTGTCCTGTCCCTAGTTTCCGGTCTGCTGTCCTTCCGGTCCCTCTCTTTCCCTTGGGCTATTATTAATTTCCGGGTCTTGCACTCTGTCCGGGCTCAGCATTGACGTTCGGATGTCCTGAGACCCGCCTAGCACCAGGGCGCCCCACGTCCGCTCCCTGAGGGCATAGGTTTCTATACGGCATTCCTGAACTCTTTGCACTAATGAGCCCGGCTCTTTTTTCCGTCTCGCCGCTACGCATATGGGTCTTTTTCCGCTCTCCTGCTCCCAATGGTTAGTCCCTTTGGATGTCCGTGGCAGTGGGTTTAATCCTTAATTCAAATTAATTTATTGAGTAGTATAGTACTGTGTAGTGGGGTTTCTGGAGCATAACTATACTGTAGCAGAGGAAGGGTCTCCCCTCCAATGTGTAAAACACTTTGGTATTCCTTTGCAATAAAAAAACATATTAATGCAAAGAACTATTATGATTACTGTTTAAAACCAGTGTTGAAAGTTTAAGAAATTGTTATTTTTGCTTTACTGTCTCACAATTTGTACTTTTGTCATGAGAGTAGTATGAATAAAATAATGTCATTTCTTTCTGAGTACTTCTGTTCAACCTGATAAGTGGATAAATTTGATCACATTAGAACAAAATCTTTTTAATCAAAAAATCAATCTGTTGATTTCAAATGATCATAAGTATAGGGACACATTCACATTGCTGATTTCTGAGTGCAAAAGATAGGGTTTTACTTGGTTGCATATCACTTTTAGACAATAACGGCACATAGACTGAGAATGTCAAGCCTGGTGCTCACCAAACTCATACTCTGTGTAATCATTTGAGATGCTTTGCCAAACCAGGTTCTGCCTATTTTTAGGGCCTTCAGACTTTCTTTCATCAGGACTTAAAATTAAATTCTCAGTTGTATTTGGATATTGACTTGGCCAGTCTTAAGATTTTTCATTTTTGTTTCTCCTGATGAGCTCTTTGGTTACATTGGCCTTTTATTGTAGGTGATTGAGATGCTGCATGTAAACGTGCTACCCAATATGCATGAAAGCCTTCTACATAAGTATCTACATAAGAATTAATTTGCCGATGCCATTATTACTTGCAGTATCAATAAAGACAGCTGAGTCAGTTACAGTGATGGTTGTGCATGCCCTGGCCATAACTTTATGCTTTGCTTCCTAGAAGAGGTGGAGGTCTTTGGAGCAACTGCAGTTTTTCTTTCTTCAAATTTTACATTTTCAATCAGTATGATTAAGGTTTATTTTCTTCCCTTCTGCCCATAAAAGTTTGTTCCCAAACTATTCTGGCGTAACTTTGTACTTCTAAACAAATCCTGAATCATGAACAACACGTTACAAAGTAAAATTGTTTAATAGCTTTTATCACACCTTTACTGCACTTTGTTATGGTTTCTCCTTTAGTGTCATAGTATGTACTGCATCAACTTTTTATATAGGAAAGACTCAAAGTTATAAAAGCAAATCTTATGTTTTTTCTTTAGTTCTTAAATACTAACCACTTTACAGTTCACAGGGAATGACGACATCCAAGGAGGACAAGAAGGTTTGAGGGACATTCAGACAGAGCAGATAACCAAGGGGCAGCTGTAAAAGTGAAGATGGGGTTGAAACAAGATTAAGTTAAAAAAATGTTACACAAAAAAATGTGAGAATGGGTGTGTGAAAAAGTTATATAATGTATACTGTATATAGCAAAAGTCAGTAGCGATTTAAAACAGATGGGTGAAATTGGCTTATTATCCCTCCCAGATTTCAGTTAAAAACTTCCATACAATCAAGACAAACATAGTTATATTTGATACTTGAAATATTTGAACGAGAAACCATTCCAACAAGAAAGCAGAACAGATCCATTAAAACAAAACAAAAAACAATGAATCAAAGACAAAGATAGTTAAAAGGCCTTTATTTCTTATTTGTTCAGTACAGAGTTGGTAACATATATGATAAATCTGTATTGAGTTATTTAATTGTATTTGGTGTTCCCTTGAAGTCTTTACAAGGATTGCTGATGCATTGATGTTAATTAATACCATGGTGGTGAGAGTTGCTGGAACAACGTTTGCAAAGTGTCCCCCACAAGGGATAAAGCATGCGATCCATAGAAGGTACAACACTGACATGAACACACACCACACTACTAAGACAGGAAAAACAAGTACAAGGAAGAACTTTGTTCTTGCCATTGAAAAGAAACATAAAAGAAGGAGCAGTTCTTTGGAATATTATTTTACAGTTGTTTAAAGGATATGATAACCACTTAGTGGATGAAATGGAAGACAGTTGCACTTTTGATACTGGATATTAGCAGCAGTCATATTGCAATGGGAGAGCAGTAGTTCCTACTACATTTCCACCAACAGGGGGAAACCAAGAAGCACTTCAATGCCGATCCCACAATCAGCCAAAAATCATTGTATGGACATTGCAATTACAAGATGCAAATTACGGCAGTCTTTAATGTGCATGATTTAAGTTTAAAGTCTGTCCTGTTGGTCCTAATGCATTTTGTATTCTTCGTAGTGGTTGTTAATGCTAACAAGATGATTTAAACAGATGCAGTTCAAAGCCGGAAAATAGATTTCAGAATAAATAATGTAAACAGGTACTAAAATCACACCAATCATACCTTTAAAAAACAAAATAATATTTTGCATCTGTACGTACATTAAAATCTACATAACATTAATATTGTCAGAACTGAGGTCTTTTCTCTTAGACACCTGTCAAATCCTGGAAAAGCCTGGTTGGAACTAAACAGCATAATTGTTATTGAAACATTATTTTCTCATATAAAGATTGCAGAATCCTATTTTTACTCATTCAACACATTTTAACCATACATTCTTTCACATTTCTTTGTTGAGTTTTCTAGGTCCATACAAAGATCTTTTTCATGTTTCATATAAAATAAACATAAATAAACTCCCACTTGATATATTACAATTATTAACATTTCTTGTCAAGTTGGAAGTAGCATCTCTCTCCTGACTTACAATCACTAACAATAGCATAAAAGCATTAATAAAATCATATTATTTTACTACATGTGGGTAACCGTAATAGCAGGTATGTTTTATTTTTCAAGCTAGGACTGCCTCTTAACTACTTGACTGCAGTACCCTGGCTGTATTTTCCCCCAAAGCATTTACAGCAAACCCCTCAGATAATAAATAACATAATCTTTTGTCACAGAATGTGCTCACTATAATGATGAATCCACGCTTTGTTTTTGTAATGGCTTCAATCTATTTATCTATGGAAAGTTGAGTGTGTTCTGTTTATTGTTCTCATTACACATCTGTGATTATTTAATCTGTGCTTTCTTCTGGCATTCATTAATGATTCTCATGAAAAACAATCAATATAATCTGAAGCTTTGCTGGTTTACACTGTTTTATAAAGCACCCTGAGCTTTGTGGTGTAAATCCTAATTTAGATTAAGATGCAGAATAGAAGGGGAGAAAATCTAAGATTAAATAGATGACACACACAAAACATGTAACTACTTTTCAATGGGCCTCGGTACCTACTTCAAAGATCTACAAAAGATATACAACAATAAATTTGTTGAAGGGGGTAAACTATGGCTTTCATAGAAGTGGAGAACTGGATTTTATGTGTCATATCAAAATATATAAAAAGTGACATTCTTTCTAATACACCACCTCACATCAGCATCAACTATTTTTCCTATAGTGTAACATGTTTATGGATATACAGTGTTTCATCAAAAGCCTCTTTATCTTCACTCCTGCTTCTGATAGGCTGTTTTTAGTGGATCCATGATTACAATGAAACAAAAAAGTCAAAGTGCTAGAAAAAAACTACAGACAAATACGAAGTCATTTGGATTTCATGCTTTAGAAATTGCACCCAGCCCAATAATTATACATACATTGAGTGTATTACAATCAAACTTGGTTTATCAGCAATATATTGGATTACCATCATAATCACTCTACAGAAGCAATTAACAAACATACTCTCTCAAGGAAGATGTTTGGTGAATTCCATTACATTTTTACTATATTTCTTTGTATACAATATAAACATCAAATTAAAGCCTTTAAGTGATTGGCAAGAATAAAGTATTTTGCTTAAAAAATAATAAAAAACAACAGGTTGCCCTTTTACATCCAACAGTTACTCTACACAAAACCAAAGACATTTACTTCTCCTGGAACAGCATTAGTTTTAGAAAGTTCACAAAAAGAAAGAAAAAAAATGACTGTTAAAGCTATTCGCAAGGACAAGCAAAAAGAGTTATGGTTTTTTAGTAGGTTTGTCTCTACACAGCTGAGCTCTAAGGTGTTAGTGCTCAAGTCATATGGCTTTTTAAAATTGTTTATTGAATAATCTCTATACACACACGCACAAAAAGCTTTTAGTCAAAAGCTGGAAAACGTGGCTTATAGCTTAGGAAATAGAATATTTTAGCCTACACAAAGCACAGCTTCTTAAGAAAAGGATATACAGGGGGGCTCCAAGCTTTGGAGAAGGTACAGTAGGGCACTTCTGTCTTGACTGGTCCTCTCTATGGCATTTTAGCAGCACTTGGTTGTGAAAGCTGAAATCTTGGCTTAAACCAAGGCTAAAACACACATAATAAGAGATAATCTTCAAGCCATCTGGATTGCTCCCCATGTACAGTAGGTGTCATACAGTATATACAGAAGACCTGAGTAAGATTATTTTTGTCATTCATAAAAGGATGTAACACAGCAAACAACGCTCCAAACTAGTAGGCCCTTTCAATCATATGCCAAGCTCAAAACTCTTTGATACAGCTTTGGGATCATAAAGCAGCCATTCTTGAGACTATATGGTTGACATTTTTGTGTTGCCACCAGGCAATAATTTCATTGCTTGTGCTTTATTTTAATCAGATATTTCTGTTTTATTTTTATCAAGGTGATTTTCTTTCACTGAAAGTGTTGGCCAGATATACTTACAGTACACACACATATACAGTATATATTTCAAGGTAAATCTTTGTGCATATTATTATTTTATATTGAATTTTAATTAATGTGTATAGTTATTGAAGGGCTAAATCATGTTAATAATTTAAGATTACTTTGTTAACAACTAACAGATAAAGCAATGTTCCTGTTGCAGTAATAGGCATTTACAATATGTTTAACCAGTTTAAATTGGCATTCTTTGTCTTTTGTTCCTCTTTACATCTATATTTCCTAAATGCTGTATAATATATAATATATAATATTCAGATGTATGTACTGTAAAATGTATATTTTCTCTAAGAAAGTGGTTTCTTTCAATGATTGAATTTTCATATTGAAGATTTCATATATACTGTACAGTACCTACTGGTATAATATTTTTTTTTTACTTTTCAGGATGTCCAGTTGCTAGATGCCCTGAGACAAAATGTATGAGCAAACTGAAAATTTCTTGTTTAAAATTCCAAATTATGAAGCAGACAAAACAACTTGCATTGCTCACTTGAAGGATTATCACAGGTGCATTATAAAATGATAATCTCATAAAACCAACTTTTTCTGTTTTTAAACTCTTACTATGCATACACACAAAGTAGATATGTGTGTTTTCCATCAGGGCAAACAATAAAATGAACGCAAAGATTATAATTTTGAAGGTACTCTTCAAAAAGGAAATCTAAGGTCAACTTTATTTTTTTTCAAACAGTGTAAAACAACAAAATGATACTAAAAGTTACATATGTTACATAAATGCAAAAAACAAATTGATCTTCAAAGAGTTTTGCTTGCACCCACTATTATGAACCTAAAATGAAAAAAAACAAACATCTGCTTTCATGTAATCAGAAATTAATTAAATTACAACAAAGCCTGCATTTTTTTAACTTGGAGCCCCCAGTATATATATATCTATATTTGTATATTTACAAACATTAAAAAACAACAAACATCAACAAAAGAAAAAAGGACAAACATTTCTCTCACAAAAATGAGCAAGCATGCGGCTACATTTTGTCAACCTAAATGAATTGAAATTGCACTAAACAACACCCTTTTCACATGTAGATCAGGCAGAATAGCAGTTTGGATATTAATAATACTCATCTCTAATTTCTATTCTTTCCCCTACCCGTTCATGGAAAATACAGATTTTTGTCTTTTAGAAAATATACAGTCAGTGCATCCTTTTTTATTATTAAAATGACAAATGACACACACTTACACAATAGATTTTTGCTTCTTTAAAACATGCTGCTATTTACAGTATTGTATAGAAACATGCAATATTAACAAAGTTAGTCTATATATATAGGCAAAACTACACACCGGTGGATTGGTATATTTGTTTGTTCCTTGTCCCTCAATTTTCCAGATTTTTGGATTTTGGAACAAAAACAAGGCTCTGGTGGCTAAAAACAACGTATTTCAGAACTCTTAATCAGTACAAAATCTCACCCCCTCACAGAATGTTCATTTAGTTGTGGCTCTATTGCATATTATTAATACATTATTATAGGCAAGTCATTTGACAGTTAGAGAGCCCTCTGTTGGAGGTGAAACAACTTGTTATTGGACATCTAATATTATAATATTTGTTGGTGGCAATGGAACATTTACAAGTAAAATGATATGTCTATTGATCTTTTACAATGGCTTGTATCCTACTGCAGCACCAGACCAAGTCTGTTTGCTGCCCATCAGGTAAGCTTGAATTCTTGTAGACTTGTAGAATTCTTGCATGAATCTTGAAGACATCTAGGGGGTATTAACAGAAAAGAAACTTTTGATCTCTGACTGATGAAATCCATCTGTTTGTATTTCAAAGCCCAGTTTTGTAGCAATATCCAGAAAAAAAGAGAATTTCATTTAGTCTCAGGAGCTAAATTTCTACTGGCAGTTGTTTTTCCCATAAATAGCCAATGTGCAAAATAATTTTTTAAAAATCGAAATTCAGCCTTTCTGCGCATACTCTGCATGTCTTTATATGTGGGGAATTTATTGCATCAGTGGAAAAAAAAAGTTAAAATGGCTTGTGTATATGGATTCATCATAGTGTTAACTGATATACTGTACTGTGATACTTGATGGAGGTGATAATGCTAAAGGCCAGTGAAAATTATCACTGGAGGATCTGTCTATTCAGCATTTGCACATAATGAATTCTGGATATGCTGATCAAAGCTTGATCAGTGCAATTCCTGTTTATTTCTGAGAGTCTTGCCCAGTCTTTTTCTTTATGAGCTTATTAATTTAGTTTCAGGGAAAGTTTTTATTTAAGTGAAAAGGGCACTCATCTTGTCAACCAAAACAATTTATTTGATTTATCTAAAGTTCTCTGCTCTGCAAAATCACCTTTAACAAACTAATGATCTAAAACAACCCTCTTGGTCATACCATAACTTTTATTAACAAGTCGATTACACTCTTATTGCTGCACTCAAGATACAGTATCTGTATAACATATTACTACAGTATATAAATCTAACTGGGGCTTTTTGTTTCCACTACACTACTGCCAATATCCCAAACTGATTTTTTAATACAACAAATAAACATAAACATAGTCTTGAAATAAACTGATTCAGAATTCAAATTTTAGAACAAACAGGCAGGTACAACAGCTTATTGTCAGTCCCATAAAATAAATATTACTTGTCTTGTATGCAAAAAGTTTTAATAATTGTCCATTTTACACATATTGTGAACATACTCTTTAAAAGGAGCCAGCAAAAATTGTGTTCAGCTTTATTTTTGTTGTTCCTCATTAGCAGGTACTGTATATAGACCCATTATGAAAAGAAAATCCATCCATACATTGTCTAGCAGCTTCTTCCAGTTCAGGGTCTCTGAATTTTATAGATAGTTTATATCTATCCTGGCAAACAACAGGCTCAAGACAGGGTAATGGCACAGGATGCCAGACCATTGCAGTGAAAATTAAATCACACATTAAAAACAATTTTCATAATAGTGCAATTCACCCTTTCTGTGTTCCATCTTTTAAAACACATATAAAGTTGTATCTTTCCATAACCTTCAAAGTAATGCTTCTTTAAATACATATCTAAATTAAATACTTTCTGTGTCTAAATTCATGTACACTAAGGAGGATTGCTAACCTTGCTGAATAGAAAAAGAAAAAAAGGGAACAAATCAATTACTTTGACATTCATATTTTAATTTTTTTTTAGGAAAAAAAACCTTTCCTTAGAATTCTACTGAAGACTTAGGCTTTGAAGATAACGAGGTGAGCTTCTTAACTCTAAGGGCAGAATTCACAGAACATTCACTTTAAAATTCCCATCTTAGGAAAAACTGTGAAGTGGAAGACTTATTACAGGTTTCAAATTCTGAAAGAATGGGATTTTTCTTTTCCTTGACTAGGTGCAACAAATTGAACTTACATTCTGAAGACCTCAGTTATCCCTCCATCTATGTTCTAACAGGTCATTCCTGGTGAGGGCTGCAATGATACCAGGCTGAGCAGGGCTGACCAGACTTCCCTTTTCCCCAGGAACAGTCTCCAGCTTCTCCTGGGGAGGATTTCCAGGAGCTCACGGGCCAACTGAGAGACACATATTCCCTTTGGGATCTTGTCATGGTGTTAGAGGCCTGATTGCCTCAGGAAGCCTGAGAGCTTCATTAAGAACTAAGAGAACCCCGTCCAGATCAGGGACACTGGGGCCCAACCCTGAAGCCAGGCCTGGGAGAGGCGTCCATCGGCAAGCGGCTAGTGGCCTGGCCACTCTTGAAACCCGGCTAGGCTCACCCAGAAATGGCAATGTGGAGACCAATAAGGAAATGGGCTGGATGAGAAGGTAGCTGGTGGATGGGCATGAGTGGAACGGATCTGGATGGACAAGACCTCAATAGTATGAACATAAAACATGTGGATTTAAAAGGATGATGTTGAAAAGGTAGCTGATAAATTGAAGGCTGTAAAATATAAAACTACATTAAAAACGTAAGTTCTAAAGTCCTATAAAACGTATTTCATCTATTGTTCTTCGAATACTTTAATAATAATAATACTTTTCCTTACGAAAAATGTATACATGACTGGGAACCCTAGCAGTGTTACAAAAGGATTGATTTTTGGATCAGTTACAATACAGAAAAGAAAGCCCAACTCAGGGTTGTTTCAGCTTTGTGCAATGTTCCCACCTAGTGTCCAGAGAACAAAACTGACCTTACAAAGGAAAATATTATAATCACTTTTATCTCTGAAATAGTGGTCAAATACAATTTAAAAAAAGATCGTTATTTTTTTTTAAATCATCACCTTAATGACAAATCAATCTAACAGGTATATGAAAACTAGATTTTTAAACATTTGAGAAACATTTTGTTTTGTGAGGGCTCTGATTTGTAACTACAGTACATACAGTAAGTACATTATGCTGCCAATAAACTTTCACAATTACCAGACAGTTAATTTGGCATCATATTGTTAAAGGGTATGTCTGTCCTAAGAGTTGTCTTTTTTTCTCAATTTATTTAATTTTATCGCATCCTGAACACCCATCCATGCCCATTGATGGAGAGTACCAATACCCACCACTGGTTCTGCATGAAACGCAAGCTGATCAGCAGAAAAATTAACTTGGCAAGACACGTTTTTAGTGAACATGCCCATATGGCTTACCTAAACATCATAAAGCATTGAGAACATTTGGCATAATGACTCCTAAGAGACGCAAGAAGATAAAGATACCATATATACTGCTATACCTATAAAATGCATGTTTTCCACATCATTTGCAACTGAGTCTTCCCTTTTTTATCATTTTTACGTGAAATCTGTGTACCTCAACAACAAATGAAAGACTAAAATGCAACTCATTAATGTTCAAAATTGAAATGCATTTTAAATGTATTCCAGAGTACCCATGTAGAATACCCATCCATCCTACTCACTGTACACTAATGTTGTGAAAGAAAAATTGCACAAGGTTGTTGAATATTAGAAACGGTGTTGTTCTCATCTTTTGTTACTTTGTTGGGTTTTTTTTTCAACATTTCTGCTGCCACGTCTGTAGAATCGGTAATCCCTTGATTTGATTTCATGCAGTATTGGAGAGTTAGTTACAGTAGCTAGTGAATAACTTCAGCATTTACTTCTTTCCTGCCAGTGCTGCCAGAATGGCGTCCACCTCCTCCTCAGGCTTCAGTGGGTGCCACTGTGCAATGGGCCGGCGAGGGTTGGCCAGCATGTCGGACCAGTGCCTGAGCTCTGTGCCTGTGGCACTGCAGCCCACGAAGATCTTACCAATTGCATCATTCTTGCCGATCTTGTCATAATCCAGGACTGTGATGACTGCTTGGATTTTCTACAGGAAGGAAGAAGGAAGATATTTAACTCCATGATGTGTGTTTTGGGGACGGCATGGTTGGATGGTGGTGAGCATTGCTGCCTTGCAGTGCTGGGGTCCTGGGTTCACTTCTGGTTCTGGGGTTTTATCTGTCTGGGGTCTATAGCTCTGTGGTTAAGGATCTGGGCCTGTGGCTGGAAGGTTGTCAGTTTAAATCCTGTGGCTGGCAGAGGAATCATACTCCGTTGGGCTCCTGAGCAAGGCCCTTAACCCCAACTACTCCAGGGGTGCCATACAATGACAGACCCTGTACTCTGACCCCAGGCTCTCTCCCTGTCTTTGTGTCTGTGTGTCTCATGGAGAGCAAGCTGGAGTATGCAAAAAGATAATTCCTAATGCAAGAAATTGTAAAGGGTTAATAAAGCGATGTTATATATTGTATGTTCTCCCTGTATTTGTGTGGGTTTCCTCTAAATGCTCTGGTTTTCTCCCCCAATCCAAAGACATACAGTACTAGTACTTTAATTGTCTTCTGGAAAAACTCTCCCTGGTGTGAGGTGTTTGTGTTTGTCTGTCCTATGATCGACTGCATCCCACCCAGCGTGTATCTTGCCTTGCTCCTGTTGCTTGCCAGGATAGGCCCCGGCATCACTGCAACCCTGAATTTGACCCTGTAGCTGATAGGAAATGTAGATGATAGAAGAAGGATGGATGTGGGTTGCCTTAAGAGCATCAGACATACTGTGGAGCCATCCTTAAAATAATTGAAACACATCAAAAGATTTTCCTTCCCTTGTGCTCTATGTACCTGTATACAGAGTATTAGTACATAATAATCATACAGTTATGCCTATTTTAAACAAGGGAGGAATAGATGTGTATCAATGTGTATTTGGACAAGTAAAATAGATACAGTATACGAGTAGATAGAATATTAGAAGCTATTAGAATATTAGATTTTAGTCTGATATAAGCTTGTTTCTTCAGAAGACTAGCCCGAAAATTATTTATATCAGCTGGGATTCCTGAATGAGTAGTGAAGGATGCTGCTCCAATCTAAAGGAATGGCTGCTGATTTTGTAGTGGGTCAGATGGGAATCTGAGATGAGTGCAATCTGCAGCAGGAATAGAAGGGCTCCAAAGGACTGTTTGTGGAGACTGATTAGAAGTAATGAATAACTGGAAAGTTTAGGGCTCAGAACTCTGGAGAATAAAGATCAGAGAAGGTGATACAGCATACAGAGGAAGCGACACTGCAATATGACTCCTGAAAAGGGGTAGAATAGGCATCTGATGTCTTAAGTTCTTAAAGGATGAGTCTGCAAATTGTGTCAAGAATTGGTTACAGACAGAAAAAGGTTCATTATATGCAGTGATTTAAAACATCTTTATTTAAAATGTGTTCCACAGATATACGAATAAATACAATTTTTGGCTTTGAGTCCATCTCCAAAGAAAAGTGGCAATGACCTACAGTTTTCACTGTACTGTAGTTTGCATAATGCCACGAAAGAATCGGGGAAGATTGATGAGGCCAGTGGATGACAAATTATTTTCCTCTGTAAAAACACTAATCCTATGGATGTTACGGTGACAGTGAAATGTTGGACATGATGGTGTTCCATTTCCGGCACACAGTTGGTGTCCGGGTTAACACAGCAGGGCAGACATATTTTGGAGGAAGTGAGGTTAATGAGATAAGAAGTGGCAGTGCACCGTGAGCAACAATGCACACAGAAGAGTTGAAATGATCAAGAAGGGATAAGAGCTCAAGATAAATAAGAGCAAAGGGGAGTGATGAGAATGGTTTTAATCCCACCAAATTTGGCTTATGGCAAGGAGGACTGAAAAGGTTAGAAATACGGATTATTCCTGGAGACTCAAAGGAGGAGGAAATGCCATCCTGTAAGGAACTCAGACATCTGAAAACCCAAGCTGAGTGAATGTTGAAATCAAAGTTCATGGGTAGTAAACAAAATGGACTACAAAATAATACTGTATCTCATAGCACCCCCAACAATGTTAAGGGTTGACAGGCATGATTTTAAAGGTATCAGGTATGCCACAACAATGGTTGTTGATTAAGTATTTAATGCCAGAAGCAGAGACATTATGGGGCAGAGAGTTCAACTGTGAGTTTCTGGAACTAGAATCCGTGGGAGTAGTTACACCAAAAAGGGTGAGTTCTAAAGAGAGCAGAGGATGGAGTGGAAAGGGGGAAATACAGTAGGTAAAACAGGAATCAAGATCAGAGGACTAAAGCATAACAATGTAAGGAGATGATGATTCCACAGATGCAGGTGGGGGTGACCCAAGCCTAAAGAAGGGGTTGAACAGTAGTGGAGAATAAGGTTTGAGCTGGAAACAGCAGGAGTGCAGTGTTTGCTTTTTTGTTTGTTTTAACATCATTGATGAATTTGACTGATCTACAAACTACAACAAAATGTCGAACAATATAGCAGTAGTTCTAATGCAGGGCTCTGCGGCACTCCATTAACAATTACAGGTATTTTGCTTTTTGTCTTGAATGTTGTGTAAATCTTTGTGACCATTCTTTTAAACTGATATGTTGTTTGATAAGAATCCTGTATTTTGTATCTCTGGAAGTAGATACAGCTCCCCTCTCAAATATTTTAGTGTATGCCAAAAGTAATCATGCTGCATTAAATATTTTCTAATTAAATGTACACATTTTATTCAGACATTGTTCAAAGTTTAAGGAATTTTTTCTTTACTGAATTTTTTGTACATCTATGAACATTAAATGGCTGAGTATGCCAGTACAAGTTCTCAGAAAAAATATAATTATTGATATTCTACAGCACTGGTTCCCAATACTGGTCCTTGTAAGCCACACAACTGTTGGCTTTCACTCCAGCCGAGTCCTCAGCTACACAATCAGACCCTTCATTGACTAAATAATATGAATTTGAACTGTATTTTCTGAAATCTTAAATATGTTGGAGCTCTAACTGTTTTATTGATGGAGTTAACTTTAATTTGGTTAAAGTTAATTCAATTGAGTAATAATAATACTAATAAACTTTATTTTATATAGAGCCTTTAAAGGTGGCTTCTCAAAGTGCTTTACACAATGACAACAACAATAAATAAAAAGAATACACAAATTAAGGCTTCAATTATCTAATTTGGGTGGAATGGAATAAAAACCAGCAGGTGTGTGGACATCTAAGACAAGGATTGAGATCCTCTATTTAGAGAGCACATAGGTATTCTACAATGATCTATTGCAATCTGAAATGAAGCTTCTCATGCAGTTTATAGATTCTTTTCTTTTGTTATTAGAAAATGTGCATGAAAAATACCAAGCTGAAAACTTCTGAATACATGTGCATATTGGCCACTGGAAGCTGACCATTGAATGATGTTCTATGGACTGGAATATCCAAATATCTTATTGAACTGTTCAAATCATTAATTCACGCTCTACTTAAAGTATTTCAATATCACCAAACAAAAAAATAAACAGCCATCACTGTTTCCTGATAAATCTTTGCATGCATACAGTGGTGAAGATAAGTTTTGACTTTGATCAGGTCATTCTTCCACTAAAACAGTAGCCTTTCTTTATGTTGAACTTCACTGATTGTTTTAGAATTTCTAGCCTTGTAAGAAACATTCGGCTAATACCTACTTTTTAAAACAGGATGTGTTTTCTAGGGAATTGGGATGTTTACGTGCTCTCTTATCCAGTTGGGATTATTGACACACCCACTATGTTATCTTATTGTGCCCTTTTCAATACAGTATGTCTCATTATGTTATGGTTAGGGTTTACCTGGATCTGCTCAAATGGGATTTCAAAACTGAAGGACTCATTGTAGTAAGGGTTCAATGTGTTCTTCTTCACTGTTGTTTTCTTCTTCTTCAGCCTCTTACCATTCTGCAGCAGATGGATTTTCACATAGGGATCTAATGAGTGAAGAGAGATAAATGTCATGCTTGCTTATGAAAAGTTCACTACAGGATTTTGAAGTTTTATGCACAGTTCATTACAGTACTGCATCTACAGTATATCATATTTCAAAAGTGGATTCTTCACTGTTTGCCGTAGTTTTAGTAAGTAGAAAATAGACAACATTTATTGTTTGCTTCCCAATTACTATCTTAATAGTATACTAATTAGCAAGAGGAACATCTGCTAGATTTTCTTTTTAAAAATCAGAAATCTTCCAAAGTCAATAATACTTTTAAAGGTATAGAATTCCATATATGGATTATAGAAACTATTTTGTTTATGCTCGTGTTGAAGTTAAATTATTGGCATTAAAACATAGAGAACAAATTGTGCTCAGATCACTCAGATTACTCTGGACTATAGACATTTAAAAGAGATTTTGTTTTTACCTTGAACCACCAGCAGATGGAGTATTGCAATAACTGTATCTTATAACAATGTTTCAGCAAATAGGATATTCTTCCTTTTCTGCCTTTCCAAAAAATTATTTGTTTCTGCTCAGTAAAGTAATAGTTTATTTTGAATTAGGTTAAATTCTTCACTTTGACAAGGCTATTTCACAATACTGTGATACTGCCTGAGGCGGGTTACAACAATCAGATCATTTGTTGGGATCCCTGGGCAACAGACACACTCCAAAACAAACCGTAAGGTTCAGTTGTGCAATTTATTTACAATGTGGAGTCACAGCATCACCATGAAAAGAAAAAAAAAAGAAAACATAAACCTTCATTGGGCTCCTGTCTGAACTCCTGGTCCCTGTTTTATAAATATAGTGTGACAGCTATAGCTACTTACTGGCTTAACACAGATAACTTGAAGTCAAGGGGTTTTTATCACACCATAGTTTTCTTGCAGTGTAGCAGCTAGAATAGAATAATTTAGCCAGACTCCTTTTCTATATGGACTCATCTCAGCTAGAACTGTCTAGCCAGTTGGCCTCTCGCTCAATACAAACAGCCACTGATGCCTCAGTCCCACATCACCAGGCTGTATCAGCTAGCAGATGCCAACACACTTCCCTTGCACTCTCTTGCATGTTTGTGCAAGTGAGTGGCCACTCTGCAGTTGGCAACCTCAGTCAGCCTTCCTAGTAAGGACTGAGGTGTATCTAAGGCACAGCACTTCAGGTGAAGACACCATTTTCCAGGGACCCTGCCCCTGTTGGCATCACAATACATATCCTCTATATGGTCTTCATATTTATTTTGTATATGTTATTTGAATGTATAAAATATGCTGAAATGTGTACCATAGCTCCAAATTAATTTATAAGCCAAGATTGGGCATTAATTTGCAAGGCCAGCAAGAGATGTGACATATTACCATTTGATCCAAATATATGTTATTTGACAGCATGCTGCATGGATGTATCATGTTAGACAAGTAGGAATACAATATTATATGTAAGTGAAGATTTTAATGTGTGGTTACTTCCAGTGGAGGACAGAGGAACCGAATGTTTCTATGGGTGACTTGACGCACAACACATGATGGTAATGATTCGTTTTGAAACGAACCCAACACATACAGTATAAACAATGTTCTTAGATTCATTGTAGAACCTGTTAGCAGGTGCTTCAGTACATGTTTAGTTATGCACCCACATCTCTGGGAATAGATATGCATTTACATTCCATTCCATTGAGGACCCATTTCCAATGACATTTACCTGACAGCCCACCCACATCCATCTTTTTGAGGTTCTTGGCCTCCAGAATGCAGATGGTTAGTTTGCCTGCTGTTGGGACATAGCGGAGGGAGATGCAGATATCACCTAGCTTCTCAGGCTGCACAAACAAGCAGAGGGACAAGTGAGGAAATGGTCAGTGTCAACTATTCATACAGTATGTTTAAAGGCAGATATTCCATACTTTTTACTGACTGAGCTGTTAACAAAATTATTGAGGACCTTCACTTGCTTTATTTTTAATTAAAAATGCATTTAAAAACAATAATACATTCATGTGTACTTCTTTAACAGAACATACCATTAAAGTATTGTTATTTCACATTTTAATATGGAATATATATGTTTTTAATACCTCTTCTTTCTCTGCGCTCTCCAAATCTCTCCACTCCTCAATGGGCTGGCCCAAATCAACAGTGTTCATAGGTACTTTCACTTCCCCAATGATGTCATGTTTTGAAAAGCGGTCAAAGTCATATATTGCCATCACCAAGGTCTTCCCTCCAAGTTCCTGGTAGGGAACCTGAAACAGAGGTGCGTTGGAAACACTTGCATTATTACAGTGAAGGGTGAAATCAATACAGAGATTGGATCCAAAAATAATGTATAAAGTCCCTTCAATTATAAACAGTTTGAAAAGAAAATTGCAGAACACTTCAGTGATATGGTGAAATTAAACAGCACAGTATGTTCACTGTTTACATATTTCAGATATTAAGATAACAGTACGGCTTTGATTTACAGGAAGCTGTGAAAGCAATGGGGCTCTCTGAGAGACAATAAAAACTTGAGTTGAAGAGTTCCCGCAGGTGAATATCATTGATGATCGTTGCAGATGTTTTTTATTTTTAAGTTTTAGTTAATTGAAGTTAACTAAAGTAGTTATATATGTTATACTGTATATAAGTTAACTTATATATCTTGATGCAATGACCTGATACGGTAATAAGTTTGTAATACAAAAGATTTGTATCCTTTTATCCTTTTAAAGGATATTAAAAAAATATATTTAAAGTGATTGTTTTGATCCTGAAATTTAGACTTGCTATTTTCAATATCATAACTAATTGCTACAAAAAGTACATTTCTATGAAAAGAGTATTGGATGTCAATGTAGCATTGCTATGAATATTGTAGTCTGGTCTAATCTAATTAATCTTGCTTTATTTGATTTTCTGGAATCTACACCCCATGAAATGCCATGGTATATTATTAATGATGACACTTGAAGATCATTTAAAAATATCAACTTAATTTATCATTAGGTCTGAACCCTAAAAAGTTGATGTTGATTAAATTATTAAGCTCCTAAGTACAGTACCATTTGGCATCATTAACAGCTTTTTCAAGATTGCATATCCTCTTGTTTCTAACTACCCCATCAGTCATCTTACAGAAGATAACTTATCGTATTCTTGGATCTAGTGCTATTATGAAGCAAAAGTTTACAACACTACAATAAAAGATAACAACACCTATTAACACCATAGAACTAAATGAGTCACTGACTTTCACAGTTTTCCTCCATAAAGGATCCCTTATGGCTATATGCAGTTTAATTTCTGACCAAATTTCAGTCATTAAAGAGATTCCGATCACATTGCACAGGCTATACGTGGATAGGAAAAAACCTATGTTACAGCAACTGGGTGAAATTGTTGCTCTGCAGTCAGTTAAAAACGTTTGATAAAATTTTAAAACATCTTTAGCCTGAAGCGCAATTTCATAAATTAATACAGTTAATAAAACACCAGTTACATCCCTAACAAAAGTGCCAGTTGTATTTATTATAATGTCGTAATTAGCTATTTTACTGTTTAATGTGAGGCTGAATTTTTTTTTGTTAATTATTGTTGATAATTAAAGGAAGAGGTAAAAGTAATTATTGTTATTTAAGTTCTGCTTCACTCTGCTGTTACTACACTAATATTTAAATGTCTGTCTGGCCTGTTAAGATTAGGTTGAAGACAATTTAGTTATTTTTTATTAATAATTGGTCAGTCTATTTACAGTATTTCACTGCACGCTATAGAGGTTTGAAAGAAAGGTGCCTGAAGGATACAGATGGATTTTCACATTCCAGCTGCTCAACAAAGCTGTGTGGCAACTATGAAATTTAAAGAGATTAAATTTAAAAGAGTTACTCAACCTATTTGGCTAATGAAATCCCCTAGCCATAGGTTAGCCATTAAGTCCTCAGTGGTAAGGGAGGTGCAAGATGATGCTTACAAATGCAGATGAAAGCAACAGCAGAAGGAGGCCTCCAATGCTGGTCTAATTACTACTGGAATAGTAAACACTTCTCTGTAATCTTGGTCTAATATCTTTTTCAAAATACTGGAGCAATGACAGAAGCAGAGTACAAGTCCAAGCAGAAGGAGGCAGCTATGTCTTCTCCAAGGGCAAACAGGAAGAAAAGCACCACCAAGTTATTGAACACCAGCCTACAGCACATGATACCGAAGAACGGAGCTTTTGGTCAAGGAATGAAAAGCTGTTACTGTAAGCCCAGTGGTACAAACAGAGCAGTCAATTGACTACCAAGCAGTGGAGAAATATGAAATGGTCAACTTAATCAACCTTCAACATGTTCTTAAAAAAAGATGAGTGCATGTGTGGCAACATCCTAAAGAACTCTACAGCCCTGTGAGATTGTTTCTTACAGTTAAGGATTCTGGTGGTTCCATAATGGTGTGAGGTGCATTTTCCTGCAATGAACTGTTTCTTTCCCTTTGATAGTAAAGTCAATGCAATGGTACTCAGTGATATCTTTCCTGCTGGTAGGAGTATCTCCTATTATGACAATTCCCCCATGCACAGAATATGTATGGAGTTACCAAATGGTTGGATAAGCATGATACTGATTTTATGCTTATACTACAGTATTTCATTGTCTTCTCTGTCACTAGATTTGAACCCTGTCAAGCATTTATGGGACATTCTAGAACAAGGCCTGAACAGTGTTTTCCACCTTTATCAACCAGACATGGGTTTATATACTTTTGCACAGCAGATTTACAGATGCTGGTAGAGTCTATGCCATGGCTAATACAGGCTATGCTGGATGCACACCGTGGCTAAAAACTCTTTTAGTCTGACTTAATACTCAGTTTTTACGAGATGTCAAAATGGCCATTAAAAATCCTATTGTGGTTTTTGAAAATAGTGGAGGTGTACCCCCATCTCCTGACCAATTTGTCCCCTGGCCTTTATCAGTCATGGCTTCCTAATAATCCCTATCTATGAATTGGCTTCATTACTCTGTTTTCCTCACCACTGATAGCTGATGTGTGGTGAGCTGCCATATCATCCAGGTGTGTGTTACACATAAATCACTTTGAGTGGAGTGTCCAGAAAAGAGCTATATAAGGGTATGGAATTATTATTACACTGTAGTCAAGTCAAGGTTATATCATATGAGGCATTTTGTACCTTGCAGGGAAGAGAAAAATTGTTTTGTGTTTGGAATGACAGGCATTTCCAAACATTTCCAAATCATTCAGAACTGACTTCTAGGATGTACAATAATGTTATAACACTCAAATTAAATACTTTGGCTATCCTGACAAGTCAGTAAAGACATTTAATATTAAATCAATAGTTTTATAGTAACATGTTTAAAAAGGCTAGAATTGTAATTAAGTAGTTAAACAGGACATCTCCTCCATTTGAATCCATTTTATGTGCCCTGAATGAATTGTGAGAGTGCCTTCGCTTCCCCCCCTCACAGAGATGAACTCAGCAAATTCTCAGTGTCCTTGAAAACTCTGTTACTTGATCTTTCTGATAGACTGCTGTGTCAGCAGGGAGAAGGGTCATTATTCTTTAAGTGGATTTCTCTCAGATGTGGGATTGAAAGTCTTGGCTTTTCACTAGACTAGTAAGGCTTTTCATTCACAGGGTACTGGCAGTCTGCTGCACTGCATCTACGTGGAGAATGAAGCAAATCATTTAGCAAAGAAAATATTTCACTGACTAAGCATAACAAAATAATTTCATGGAACCAGCATGCACAAATTCAAAACAGTCTGGGCATAGTGTACATGCATCAGGTATTCCATTATAATTTTGGAACAATATAATACATGTACCCTTTCTTACTTATTTAAAATGTAAAGTGCACTAATATATTGCACAGGTATATAATACAAAGTGCACTGTTTCCATTTCATTATACTGTATAAGAGGCCACAATCCCTTATTATAACACTAAATGTATCCCAGAAAAATTACAAAGCACACTGTGAAAACAGCAAGCATACAAAGTCTGGCCATGGGGTCCTGTTACTGTACCATACATTTACATTATTAGGTCAGTATACTGTATATGATTAATACATATTTATATAATTAATACATATAAATGTTTATAATGAATGATAACAGTACTTAAATATTTTTTTCTGTACACTAATTAAAATATAGTGTTTCTGGAAATTATGCAGACAAACACAGTACTGCCTAAAATCTTCAGTAAAACAGACTTCAGGCAACATTATGAGGGACAATAATATTGGCATTTCAAAGTGAAAAGGAAATGTAAATCAAAGATTCTGTCATGATTCCATAATGATGGAAGGAAGTAATATCAGGGAAACGTTATCAAACATTAGCCTTCTGCAACTTCCTAGTAATGGAGAGTTAGTGCTGAGTGAGAACCCATGGGGCAGACAGATGGTGGGGAATCTCACCTGGAGGAACATACCAACTGCCAAACAAGAGCAGTGTTAAACTGTTGCTATTTCTGCATGGAACTGGAGTTCAACCAGTGCCTAATATGTTCTTCAAATGTTCTAGTATTTCCCCCTTTTAAATTGTGAGGGATTGTATCAAGCATATTGGCTCCGGCTCCTCCAGTGATCCAGTTATCAATAAAGTGGTTGGAAAATGGATGGATAGATATGTCAAGCATAGCCTTTTATCCTGCCATCACATGTGTGGATTGCCCCAGGGCAGTATTGAAAAAACGTTCTTTCAGGCATTTCTGATCTCCCAAAATTAGACTGTACACACACGAATGAGTGTTACTATACAATTATGTTACTATACAACAGCTAACACTAAATAAACCCTGTTACAGTACCAGTTTGTAAATTCGCTTTTTTGTTCCAAAATTTTGAAGTTCATTTTGTATTTTCAATACAGTAAACAAAGAAAGTACAAATCTCCTATGAACCCTATAATCTAGTAGAGTATTTTATTCAATGCAATCTTATGGCAGTACTTTTACTTATTCTTGTATTTGAGAAAAAGATATTAACTAATATAATTGAATTACTACATAGACCATATTGTATAAATCCTGTAGAAAATAGTTTGTATGCTTAGACTATAACTTAAGGCCTATTAGAATTCAACAGATGGTCACATCTTAAAGACTTGATGTGAGATAATGGAACAATTTTCCTGGATCTATAAGAGCACTTTGTACTATATTGCAGTTATTGACCACATTAGAAAGACAACAAATATTGCGCAATTTAATGGAGCATTTTCCTATGCATAGCACGAAGCTTTCAAGGTCTTCAATTATTACACCACTAAATCTGCTACAGTGTTTGTATCACGAAAGAGCCACCACTAGAAAACGTTAAAGATTTTAACCTAACATTTTTAAGCTGCTTGGAAATGTAGCCACAGTTGCCTTTAACTGTTCAGTGTTGTTTGTTTTATACAGTTTTCCAAGACAGAATAAGAATCATTTACATAGGAAAAGAGATTGAAATTAGCAAAGGTTACCTTGAAAACAAATGATTCGTTGAAGACAGGATTCAGTGTCTTTTTGTGCACCTTGGTGTCATACTTCTTCTTTTTGTCTGGTAGAAGAAAGACTTTTACGTAGGGGTCAGAGGTGCCTCCCATGTCCATGGAGATCAGGTCAGCAGCCTGAATGATGCCCACTGTCAGCTGAACACAAAGAATGAACAGGTCAGTCTCTGCAGGAGGACATGAACACATGGGACACCTTCAAACACCAACCTTTCACACAGCAAACATCATCTCTTAACAGGATCTTCTGACAATGGTGCATACAAATGGTGCATAAATGGTACAGTACGTACATTGAAAGAGAATTATAATGGTGTATACAGTATTTTTCAATAAATTATACAGTATAAAAATACGGTAAGTGCCAGTAAATAATCATTGTTCCTCCTCATAGTTTTGAGTCTGGAGCCCAGTTTAAATCTTTGTTCCTTTCTTCAAAAAATTCACATCTCAGGACAGGAACATTAGAGAAGATTCCAAGAGGGTAGAAAAAATAACCATCTGCAATTAAATGCTGGGCTTGAAATCTGAAGGTCTAGGCTTCATTTTAACTTTAGCCTAGGTTGAACTGTGGTAGTTGTATTTCTCAAATGTGGTGGACCCTAAATCAGGATGTTTATGATGGTTGTGTTTCTAGCATTTTACATTTACACACTTACAGTATAAGTAGAGGGAAAAATTGATGTTGGTGGTTTAAATACCATGTGAAGCCTCTCTCGTGCTTTCTATATTTAGAAAATGGCACAAAAAACACTCACCTCCTAAATCATTGAAACCTTTAATTGAGCTACAAATTGATCCCAAAGAGGTATCCAGCTGTTTCTTAAAGTTCTTTCAATTCCAGTTTGTTCCAGACACCATTATATTTGTGTAAAGAAATTATTTTGGTCATAGAAAACACGTATACTGTATATCAATATGATACTGCTGATCTATGAGTAGTTTCCTAAAGAAGGTCCATTTACTGTAGGTGCGCCTTTTTTCTTCATATGGTCACTAATGTACTGTATTTGTATCTGATATAATCTCACTTGGCTATGTGAGTTGCCTGGCATTGGCTTTGCTGGTCTTACTCTATTACTGTATTATTTATCGGTCAATTTTCCAAATGAATATTTTAGGAATACTGTCACAAATATAGCACTATCAATATTCCAGACAACACAGAAGAAAAAGGAAACATTGCTACTTTGTCCAGCTGTGTGCTAAATACAAAATATACTCTAAAGCCCAATGACTCAATGTATCGATGAGGACTCACAGAAACAGAATGGGGGAGAGCATAAGACACCCCATTGTTCAGGACGGTCAGGGCTGAAAAGGATACCTACTGTACTGTAAGTGGTGTTGCAAGACTTTTTGTTCCTCTTTCGGGAACATTGGTTGTGGGTTGCTAGGGACAGTAATGTTCATGTGATTCTGTGAGTGTGGGTTTCGCCTGTAGATACTGTGTGCCAAGTGTTCTCTGTGTCATGCACACGGTGATGAATGTCCTAATTGCTGACGAATAAAAAGGGCAATTATGTAGGGTAACTATGTTGTCTGGTCTGTAGGTGCACTGGTGGTTCTGAAAGATACAATGAACTTCTTACAGGGGAAAAGGGCCGTAGCACCCTTAAAATAGTCATCTACTGTAAGTTAAAATTCCTACATTTTGGGGTCATTACCCATGATTCATCTCATTCAATGGTTGTTGAAAATAAATGAACAACTAATATAAATCCATTACTTAGTATACAAATGGTGCTTGCCTTTTGTTGTGCTGTAATAGCTTATTAGGGATTTTTATCATTAAACTCCTTATTTTCATGTCATCAGAATGTGTTGACAGTGCCTCAACTGTCAAGAAATATAAAAAGGTAAACAACCTGACAAAAAAAAATGGTAGAAGGATCGAAAAAGAGGAACTGTCATTTTCTTTAGCAGTGAGTTCATTGCTCATATTTTTTCATATTTTGTTTTATTGAATACTGTACTAAGGAAATTGGGTTTTAGTGTTTGAGTTGTTAACTTGAGAAGGTGAATCAACAAAAGGACAAAAGGTTAAAAGGACAAAGAAACAGACACCAAAAAATGCAGAACACTATTTGCAAGTATCAGTGATATAAAGCAGCAAATTCTATTTCTATTTGGCAAAAACTACCTGCTAAAAAAGTATTTTGGTTTTTTATTCACTTTTGCAATGAAATATAAAATATCTCTCCTTACAGTATCTTAAACCAAACAAGTTTATTTTACTTTAAATAATTACAAGGCCCCTAAAATTGTGTTAAAAAAGTTCCTTATGAGAGCATAAAAATAAAACGTACTATAAAGTGAGTCCAGTCATGGATTTGACGCTGAGGTTAATCCAGAGTATGATGGGGGAAGTGTGCATGCAGGTCTTAGAGTGTTATTTTTAAACTGTTTTTCATTTGTACGCAAATGTTACGCAAATCCATGCCCCTGTCATTCTAGATCTGTGACATTAAGTAGTATCACAGGGGTACATAGGTAGAGAACCACAGGAAACATGCATTTCAGAGAGTGATATAGTAACACAGCTGAGTACTCCTACACCTTTGTGGTCTATTCATGATCATACAAGTAGGAAATGAATCCTTCCCAATAGCTCTGACCACAACAGTCTTGTGGCCAGATCTGGCCCTTGGACTCTTGAGGCCTGTAAATTTCACAACCCTGATTTAGGTTCTGTTATCCCACTTATTATCTTTATTGTTCATATTTAAACACTCTTAATTTAGGCTCCTGAAGGCCCGGTGCCTCAGTCTATTTCTGTCTGGGCCGTTAGTGAAGTTATGAGTATAAATGAGTGTGCATGGTTATAGTTCTAAAGGATATATAGTGCATATTCTTTTTTATCTTTATGCTATTAGTGTGCATAACAGCTGCAACATGTCTGGGATCTATATTAGTGCAGTTGCTCTTTATAATTTATATTATGAATTCATAATTTCCTCATCATTTATATTAAATTAACTAGTGAAATTTGCTAACACTTCATAAGAACATAGTTGTGGAAAATTAAATACAAAAAGATTCAGATATTATTCAAGACTGGGCAGAGAACTTGCAAGTTGTTTAAATTTGTTAAATTATGACAAGAAACAAGTAGACAATAGACAAGTACATAGACAAGTACAAAGTAATATACTGTATGCTGGCAGTAATCATGTACTCACTTAACTGAACTAGAAAATTGATGTATTAAAGTGACTTAAGAGTTTATGTTGACTCAATTGAAAATCTACATAATGAGAAAATGCTACAATTTCCATACAGACTTATGTGTGCTAATGAGTGCAGACTTAAATAACTTATGGGCTCTAAAATGTGTAGATGTTCATTAAGAGTTTTCCTCATTGAATTTCTTGACAGAGAATCAGCTAATTTGTTACTCATATGCTACAGTATTTCCTTAGCACATTTATCTTCTTTTTGCATTAATGGTACTCCAGTAATATAAGAACATAAGGATGGTTATAATTGTAAGGAAGTCATTAGTCATTTTTTCCCATTTGGTAGGTAGTGGTTAAGTGATATCCAACTATTTCTTGAAAGAAACCAGGGTATCTTCTTCAACAACATGGGTAAGTAGCTTGTTCCATATTCCAACAACATGTTGCATAAAGTGTTTCCAGTAATATTACCATATTAATTAAAAAAATGCATTAAAATATTTAAAAATAGTAATGCTAACATACTGTATAGTATAGTGATGTGAAAAATAATTTACACCCTCCTATATTATTATACAGTGCATATTAAGACTGATCCCGACCCTCACCTTGTCCCACCAAGTCCTTACAGATAAATCTACTCTCATGTGACATACTGTATAACACACATTTGTTTTCTAACTTGTTTTGCTTTTTTAAAACAAATGTTTGAAGTAAGTGCACCCTTACTGCTCCTATAACAATTCAGAAGGTGATTAGAATCAGGTGCTGCTAAACAAGTGCACCTGATTAGTTGATCATCTGGAAGTGCTTTAAATCTGTACAGTATATGTTGTAAGTTCAGAAACTTTGTCATTTTGGTCTGGAGCATTAAGATTTGTGTAGCCATGGCTACATCATGCTAGGTAAAAATATATCTGGGATTGTCTCAAGGAAAGAATCATCAGTCTGGGAAGGGCTATAAAGCCATTTTTAAACAATATGAAGTCCATCATTCCACAGTGAGAAAGACAATTTACAAATGGAGAACATTCAAGACAGTTGCCAACCTACCCAGGAGTGGGAGTCCCGGCAAATTCACCCCAAGATCAGACTGCATGATGCTCCTAGAGATCTCAAAGAACCCCAAAGCTACATCCATGGATCTACAGGCCTCTGTCAATACGGTAAACATTAGAGTTCATGATTCTACCATTAGGAAAAAAACTTAACAAGAATGGTTTTTGTGGAAGGGTAGCCAGGGAAAACCCCTTCTCTCCAAAAATAATATTGTTGCAAGCCTTAGGTTTTGCAAAACAGCACCTGAATTAAAAACAGCACTTATGGAGCAATGTTCTCTGGACAGATGAGAACAAAGTAATGTAAAATGATTTGGTGAAAACCAACCACTGCATCACCTCCAAAACCTCATACCAACTGCCAGGCAAGTGTGAAACCATCTAACCAACAGCTAAAGCTTGGCAAAAAGTAGATCATGCAGTAGGGCAATGATCCAAAACACACCAGTTAGTCCATGACTGAATGGTTGAAAAAGAAAAGAATCAGGTTTATGGAATAGCCCATTCAAAGTCCAGACCTCAACCCTGTGATACTTTAGTGGAACCTACAGATAGCATAAATGAATGTATAAATGAATACCCTTAAAGATCACTAATCTGAAACAGTTTTGTAAGGAGGACTGGGTCAGATTTCGTCCCAAACTCTTACAAGAAATGTTTATTTTAAATAATTGCTGCTAAAGGGGTTCCCCATGTTACTGAATCATGGGGTGCACTTACTTTTTCACAGAAGGCTGCTGAATGTTGGCTATTGTTTTTGTTTAGTAAATAATGACAGCATTTATTGTGGTATATAGGTTAAGTCTAGGTTTATCTACTGGACTTGTGAGATCTAGGTGAAGGTTAATATGTAAACTATAGAATTTTAAGGGAGTGTACTTTCTTCTTCACATCACTGCAATTACACATAGTAATGGTAATGTTATAGGACTCCTAGGTATGTATTTGAAGCACAGACTGCACCCTATATTCCATAAAATGCAATCTCAGTAGAAACAATGACCAGGTGCTCCTACAGGTAAGTGCAAGTGGCTAGGTTGTGTGGATTTAAGGTTGGCCACTGTTTCATCAGGGACTCCTATGGCTTGTTGGTGACTGTCGAGCTTGTACTGTTATCTGCAAAAATTACTTCAGTATTCTACTCAATGAATTAGTTTGCACAATATATGCTATATATGCATGAGGAAGAGAAACTAATGGTATCTGTTTAATCCCTTCCAAATATATTCTTGTATATTTTTGCACACCTGTAAATGAATTACCATAGTGGTGTCGAAGATGAATAACACTTGGTAATTCCAATTTTGTGTGTACTGTATGTACAGTATGTGTGTGGGGATAGTAGGCATGAAAGATAAAAAATCAGATGATACTTATTTACTGTATGCCTTTTTACAACATCCTGTGGGCATTCTATCACAAATAACAATACGTAATAATATGACACTGGAGTCCTTATTTTGAATAAGGAGCGACCAAGCCCCGCGTTACCAACTTATCACTGTACATACCTTGTTGTCCTGGAAATCATAATCAAGTGAGTACTGCAGCTTGCCAAGTTTCTCCTGCTCCTTTTCTTCTTCTTCTTTCTCCTCTTCAGTCAGGCCTGTTTCTGCATCATCATCATCGTCATCCTGTTTATTCTGCAGCAGCAAATCAGAAAGAGGGAGGGAGGTCATTGCACACCTGCATCACAACCAGCTCTGCAAACCAAATCGTGGCACAATTTACACAGCAGCATGCACATGGAAATGGCTCTTTGACCTCTGATCAATTGCATCACCTACCTGTATTGTGCATCACCCTGATTTCCCATCTCATAATAAAGCAGCTGTACTTACTGCATTCGTTTGGAAACTGTTGTTTGCAACATGACTTGATTCAGCTCTTTCCTTATTGACACATTTTATGCAACTTTCAGGTATAAATCTTCAAAATAAAGTTTGCCATCCAATCTAGAAAACTGAGAAATATTACTTCATGTGTGGGTTTTAGAAAATACTGTTTCCCGTCTCTAAACTGCCTTTTGTACTGTATGTGTTGCAATGAAAGACAGACTGAGAGAAATGGAAATACCAGTTATAATTTAATTGAATAATTCTAAGGTGGACATTCAAACAAACAATACCAGCCTTTTGATAAATGCCATGCAGTATATCACTAATGCCAGCATAACAATTTGCATAATATTTGTAATGATTGTCAGCTAGATCCTTTTTGATAAACAGGAAAAAAGAAGCAAAATGAATGACTGGAAAGACTAAACTTGACTAAAGCAGAAAGCTGTATCAAAGATTATATAATATCCCTAACCTTTATTTGCATAAACCTGTTTAAGCCATTATACAATATAATAAAGAAAGGGAGTGTGGCAAAAAGTCACATATTTCACAGCCTTTCATGATTCTTATCCTTGGTCTAAGGCAAGACATACAGTAGTGCAAACCATCACTGAGGCTGCCTCATAGAATAGACATAAACTCAATGTCCATTTGCACATATTCCGTGTAACCTTTCTAAGTTCAGAAAAGAGAAAACACACAGCTTTGAGACATCAACTGTTGATCATGGAAATACTTACGGATTTCAAAGTCAGGAATATCTTTAGTTCTACAGACAGCCTATCTACAATGCACAGCTCATTTAACTTCCCCAGAAATATACAGATCAGAACCACTACAGAAAAACTCAACTTGTTTCCAAATGACATTCCTAAAACCTGAGAGTAACACAATATTCTGTCCCATCATTACTTTTCTATTGTTAAACAACTATTTTTTTAAAAAATATATTTTTTAATTAATTATTTCATCAGATGGGCTGCTGAGAACAAATTCTCATTTACAAGACCAACCTGGTCAACAGGCTTACACAATTGAATTTGAAAACAAATGAAAGATGTAAACAACATAATCAGAGGGGGCATAACAGGATGTGGTAATATTAAGAAGTGCAAGTCAGACAGAAATTATTTAACCAATCAACCAACAGATTGATACCAACCAATACCAACAGATCCGAAGGTGATAGTTTCTATATATGTAATTTCTTAAATAATGATAGTCATTAACACCGGCACATTGATGTGATTTGGATCTAAAATTATAGGGGGTCTTGGAAGATTCAATTTGCTAAGAGTAAATTCAATTTAAAATTAAAGGTGGAACAAAAATACACTGTGCATTTAGGAAGAAGTTGTTATCGCTATGATCTGTAACTTAAAAAAAAATGAAGCATTCCCCTAGTGTAGAGGGGCAATCAACCAAAGAGTAAAGATCACAAAGAAGAGTGACAAGGGCCACCAGTAAAAAATCATCATACAGAATGATATTAGGATTATCATGATATCAATTCATGAAAAACTCTGTGCTGCAGAAAGAGGCTACTCAGTACCAACATCACCATAACCTTAGATGGGGGTGTAGATATTTGAGCTACTGTATGCCTAAAGCAACATATAAAACAACATTTGTTTCATCGGGGCTTGTTGTGTATGGTGAAGCTTGTGATTATTAAAGAAACCAAGTCTAGCCTTGATATTAAATTCCAAACTATTAATATGAGTTTTGAATGTTAAAGCATTATACAAACAAATGCTTGTGTACAGTATATAAACTGTGACTTGCTCAAGCTTTATTTGAAATGAAAAAGAAAATGTTTGTTACTATGGCATACTTCAAGCTGTTTTGATTAAAGGGATTTAGAGTGGGATTTAAGGTGTAAGGTGTTGAGATCCAAAGTTCTCTCCAAATATAAATTGTTTGTAAATATTACTTTTGTCTCAAGTTAGTTTTCTGTAAGTAATACTTCTTATAAGTTATTACCTGGTTATTTCTCCACTACAAAACAGCATATGGATAATTGTTGGAGCCACCTGCACTTGCTTGGTACACCAACCATTTTTCAACAAACAATATTTAGAAACACAACACAACAATAGTTCGCACATCATGTTTGCTTCTTTTTGCTGATGATGCATGGAAATATTGCGAAAGCATGCATACAATTTAGATTGGAGTTTGTGGCTCTTTAAAGTGCATATCATTCAGTAATAAAAAAGGTTCCATCGCATGTTATTCAAAACAAAAGCCACAGGGAAGCTTCTTTTCCCACACAATATGTCAGTAAGGAAAGTTACTGTCAAGTCAAGTTGTAATCAGAACATGCATACGTTCAAGTGCTTTCTGGTATGGTGCTGTGTGCACTATCATCCAATTTTTCAACTTTAGGATGAGCTGGAACTTGATGAGCTGAATTCTTGTCTTTAAAAAAAGGAAAAAATGCTTATGCATTTTTTTCAAAACCCCTATATTTTAAGCCAAAACTGCGGCCTCTACCCTAATTTCCGAGACTCCGCAATTTGCGTAGTAAGTGCAATGAGAAGTGACTTAAACTCCTCTTTGCTTTTAAGGATTCTCAGCAACTGAATTTGCAAAGAAAGAAAGTGATTGAAAATTCACATCCACCCCCTGCTTCGCCTAAGCAGGCCTGTTTGAGAGGCGCCTCGAGCCGCACACCTACCGTGAAGCAGGGATCCGGGACAGTCAAGATACACAGCAGACAGATAAGACACAAAGCAGGAGAGGAGAGCAAAGAGAGAGGGAGAGATTGAACTCACAGACACACAAAAAAGAAACACAACAGGCAGATCGAGAAATGACAGACTTCTACCCATAATTTTTTTTTGCTTTTAATTTTGGGATTCTTATTTTTAAATGGTTGCTGATGTAAAGATATTTTTTTACAGTTTAATTCCCAATAATTCAGAATAAAAATAGACAATAAATAGAAATAGAAAATAATAATGGTGCTTAATAGTATAATAGGTGCTTTTATACGGTTACTGTGTGGATTTAAATATTAAATGTTTGATTGTTATTTGTATTATTACTATTTTATTGTATTTCTGAAACCCTTTTTGCTCTTTAACATACTCTGTGATGACTTTCAGAAACACTATACCCGGTTCAATAAACCAGTTTACTTTTTTGTTGAAGGAAAAAAAAAACTCACTGAAAGTACTTTATCAACCCCAGTCCATTATTTCCTGATCCAGCAAGTATGTCATTTCTCACAAAAGTCCCAGAGCACAAGAAAATACAGCACTCACATTTTTCACAAATACAGGATATAATAACAGAGAAAATTAAAGAGCGAGCAGAGCATTTCTAAACTTCCTACTCTACTGCTTGAGAATTAGCTATTAAATTTTTCATACTCCATGAATTTTAAAACATACTAAATTACTTCTATTTATAAAAGCCACATGCCCTATTATCTGAATTAGATTCCTGTTTGCAGCTATTCTCTCTAATGAGCTCTGGTGTGAAAAAGTGCAAATCATGACCACGGTCAGGGCTATACTGTTGCTTGAACAGAAATGTGTCAAGATAAGAGGCAGAAATTATATTTAATATAGAGGCTCAAATGCAGTACTTTGCAGTTCTTGAGACGTCGCAAAACAAAACATACCTATGATTATAAAGCATGTCAAATTTCAAAATGCGGGGATTTGATTTGGGAAGAAATCCTGGAAGATATGGCTGGTGATAATGCAGGGAAAATAATTTAAGAATGTTCTTCAACATGTTGGAGTCTAGACTATGTATAAAATGATAACAAAAAGAAAAGAAAGGTCATTCTTGAAGTGGATTGGCTTTTTGTTTATCAGATGTGTTCTTTTTTCTGGTGTGGTCTTATTTAATTTGAGAGGTGTTTAAACCATAAGAAAACTGTCCTGGATGACACTCTTAAAGAGGCATCACTAGAAAAAAAACTGCTTCATGAGCTGGGGTTGGAGAAACTAGTTCTGACTCCTGCACTTCATTCTTAGAAAGCCAGTCTGTGCCGTGTGTCATACCTCGCCACCTTTCATGTTCTTCATATTGAGCGCTCCCTTCATACCCTTCCCCTTCTCTTTCTTGTTCTTCTTCTTCTTACAACAGCACTTCTTGCAGATGCAGAAACAGCAGGTGAGGATGAGAAGGCCAGCCACCACTGCAATGGCGATGAGAGCCCAGGGTGGCACTGCCAGTCCAGTGGACAGGGGAAAGAGTTACAAAGGAGATGTCAGGAGGAACATGGACTCAACTATGTCATCACAGTGAAAGAAATCAGTTTGGGAAACATATCTCAAGAAATATGTGTACATCTCCAACTTTGGGAACATTTGTCACTTTTCCTTTATTTGCTTTTTGCGTAGTTACCAAAACCTTAGCTTTTAGCATGTCTTCATTTTTTATTTGGTCTATCAAGAGTAAATTATTTATGGAAAGGTTTGCATACAACCATCTTTCCGATATGAAGTCCCTCAACATAGACTATATGACAAAGAAATTGAAGCTAGTGTATATGAGCAGTTTTATTTTCTCTTCAACAGTTTGCAAATAAAAATAAAAGGAGATATACAGTAGGTGCTTGGCGTACTTAAAAAAGTGGCAGAGTGAAATTGTTTTGGCATAAATAAGATGTGTGCCATATCCAATAGTATTAATACATAATATTTATGTTGTAAATGGTCAGCTACAAGCTATTTTTAGAGGATTTCTGTTTATTTAGACACATTGTGGCCTGTCATATATCACAAAATGGCAAGGAACTTCAGAAAACTAAATAAAACAAATAAGGGCTAAATAGACTTTTCTTATCATAGTAATCCAAAAATTTCATGCAACATTTTCTTCAAAGTTGAAAAACATGGGTTGGCAGCTTGTTCCAGACACCCACCACCACCAAAGACTTTATTTTAACAGCAGCTGGTGTAACAGGGTGAGAAAAATGGGTGGAGGGTAACAGGTTTTGGGGGTTATGTTGACTGTCTATGATGGCCAATGTTTTTTTTTTCTCCTCTTCAATCGAGGTGTCCAAGCGTCTTGAATCACACGGTGGGGCAGGTGCAAATCAACAAACACTGAATGACTTTGATTGCCCAGATGATTATTAATTACTATACAGTTCAGCGGTGACATGTGGGATTACAGAACAGGCTACATCAGCCCTACATCAGCCCTGGAACAAGGAGTCAGAGAGGAAATACAGGGAACAAAAAACCATTAAATACAGGTCAAAGGCATAAAGTAAGATCATTAAATAGCCCTGACTCATTGGGTCTGCCTAGCCCCTGTGGTCACCAGGAGTTCTGGCCAGGAATCGGAGATATAAGCCACGGTCAGCACAGGCTCAATGAGAAAGATTTGGGATAGACAATTTGCACCACTGGGCACAGAAGAGGACTTAGGGGCAGGAGAGGATTCAACAAAGATCAGCAGAGAAACACTCAGACGCTGTCTTCTTCCCCCCTCCCCTGGATTTGTTGTGAAGAGACAGGTTAGGTGGGGCACCATATTCAAGCATTGAGTACACAGTAGATGAACTTCCTGTTATAAATCATTGGTAATGAAAAGAATGTGCAAACAAAAAATACAGTACAATGTCATCTTGCTCAGCTAACAGTTTCTCCATTCTTTAAGGCATCTTACAGGCTAAACTGTGTTTAAAATGTAAAATATCCCTTCAAAATAGTAAATAATATCATACCATTTATGATTTTCCACTGAGTGAATTTTACTTATTACTTATTGTCTAATTTACAAACAAATGGCAAGAACATTATGAAACAATCTAAGATCAAATGAACATAAATCTTGAAATTAATGATATGTGTACACATAGACCCCAAAAGAATAACTCAAACCAGAAAAGCTAATATAGAGAAACTGTAATATCCTATTCTACATTTTTTAATTTTGATTTTGTATATCATTTGTCAATAGTGCTCCTTCTCTAATTAATATAACAGGGAACTACACTTTTCCTCCTTGCCTTGTGCCAGCTCTCAGTGACTTACAAGGGATTTTGACTATCTGATTGTAGAATTTGTTCATGAGCTCCTTATAGTCTTCTTTCTTATTGCCCATGGGCCCTTCGGCCTCGGTGGAGTTGTCTGCCACAGTGGACATGGCTGGTGCTGGAGCCATTGTCATGGTACTGGTGGGCTCAGCGCCCACAATGGGCTCTGGTTTTTTCTTGAATAAGTTCCAAGTCATCCTGAAAGGCTAGGCAATGAACACTCCCTGAAAAGCAAAAAAAGAAGTAAGAGTCAGTACTAAGGGTGCAATCTGATATGTGGGACTGTAGCCAATGAAACAGCCAACCATTAACTCATAAGAAAACAATTAAAATCATTTGACTTGTAAATAACCGCAATTGTAAATAACAGTGATTTTTCACCAGCAATTCAAGCATATAAAATATCACAATCTGTCTTTTGGACTTGAGAAACCTTATTTGCAATTTTTTTCTATACAGAAAGCATCAGTTGGCACTGTTTTTTAAGTGACCACACAGACTTTTCCTGATTACTTGTGATTACTGCTTACTTCAATCCAGTGTTCTAAGTGATTATACTTCAGTCTAATCCACATAACTCAAGAGATAATGGGAAAGCTAACGTTCAGATAATATGTAATTAAATGATAATAATATAGTTTAGCCACAGGATTTCTCATTGCTTTACACTATAATCCATCTCTTGTCTCAGACATTTTACTTCGTTCTGTCAGGGGCTGTTAATAATTAATGGCACAGCATTATACAAGAATAAGACTCTTTTATAATTCAAAAGATGAAACTGGTTATAAATGTACCATCTTAGAAAAACTTTCACACATTATTTCAAGGAGATTTTGCAGAGGAATAATGGCTCAGATGAAAAATATTTAAATTAAAATGCGATTTATTTTATTTTGCCATTGACAATGTAACACATACTGTACCGGTACAGTACTTCTTATCATGAGTATTATTATGATTATTATCTATTAATAATCATGCAAGATGATTCAAGATTAATGTAACATTTTTGAAGGTTTACGGGTAATGCATAGATTCTGTTTAAAAACTTGTCTGAAAATGATTTATGAAAATAGAATTGCATGTTTAAAATATATTCATTCATTCTTTGATCTACAGTAATATATGTCAGCAAAGCAATTAACAATTAGTTTCCCATACTGTTTGTATACAAATTATGTTTATGTATTATGTTTAAACAATTTTCTGTGGAATTGTATTTTCACATGAAATAATGTATAAAAATATTAATAATAAAGATTAATTGCATTTATATAGTGCTTTTAATCCCAGAGGACACCAATGCACTTTACACATGGGAGATGTGAGGAATGGATAGTTATTATGCACGTGCAGTGGCACTACACAGCAAATTAGGTAGAGAAATAAGAAATGGCTTCACAACTTGATTTAATTAATTTTAATAGCAAATATGATTAATATATGTCTCTATATTTATATGACGATCTCACATTGTAAAACCATCCAACAGCATTTTTTTTTGCATTTTCACTTTGTTTTTCACATTTCAATAAGAAAGGCAAAAACACCATACAGTACTTACAGAGAGACTTAATTATTTAATTAAATGTTCCCTTCAGGAGGTTTAGCTGAATAGCTTGTAATACTGCAGTAATTGCAACCTTGATTTATAACTTGTTCAACCTTTATGGCTCCACTGGCTGGACATTTATTTTGACTTGATTTTCATCATAATACATGTGTTTGTTTGAAGCGGTGATCTGACGTGATAAATACAACATGTGCCTATTGTAATTCTGTAGAATAACTGTGCACAAGACACTGGGGTTGCAAGAACAAAAAAGCTGGCTACATTTATAAATCATTGGTGTACTTATTAGTATTAAAGCCTTGAGGATATGCACAATGAAAATACACAATGAGAGGAGACATATGGGGGTACTGAATACAGTAGGAGCAGAGGGGTAAATAACAGAGCCAGTTAAGTAAAGGCCCTTCTAAAAAAGAAGGTTTTGGGTCTAGATTTGAAGGAGTTCAGGGAATGTGACTCTCTGAAGTCCTTAGGGATAGAATTACAGAGCTTTGGGGCATAACAGGAGAAGGCCCAGTCACCCACAGAGTGTAGATGGGCTTGGGGGACAGATAGGAGACCAGACTTTGAAGAGCGAAGATTGCAACGTGAGGAGTAGGACAACAGTAGCTCAGACAGGTACTGAGGTGTCAAGCCATGCAGATCCTTATACAGTAGGTGAGCATGAGGGTTTTGAAGTCAACACGAACCCTGACAAAGTGGTAAAACAGGATAGATTCTGGCAGTATTTCTGAGGTGAAAGAATAATGTTTTGACAATATGTTGCATGTGTGGGTCGAATCAAATGAATTGAATCAAATATCACCCCCCAGTTTTTCAATTAAGACTGAAATTCAAGTACAGCACCATCCATGGATAGGGTTAAAGCATTGGCTTTAAGTTGATGAGGATGCCAATAAACATGACTTTAGTCTTGTCACAGTTTAGATGAAGGAAATTTTGAGTCATCCATGTTTTTATGTCGGAGATGCAATTAGAGAGAATAGAGACAGCCGCGTCAGTGTCAGGTTTGGTATAGATGTAGATTTGATTACTGTTAGCATAAAAGAGATAGTTGAGGCCATGTGATCTTAAAAGCTGACCAAGTGGAAACATGTAATTTTTGAAACGTAGGGAGCCCAGTATTGAGACCTGAAGAACACCAGACTTAAAGAATTCAATTTCAGACCTAAATCCGCCAAGAGAGTCAAAGTGACGGCGATCAGTGAGGTAAGACCATTTAAGAGCAGTGTCAGAAATTCCAAACATAGTCTCAAGACGAGAAGATATTGTGGTTAGCATTGTCGAAAGCAGCACTGAGATCAAGAGGAATGAGGATAGAAAGAGAACCGGAATCAGAAGATATTAGAAGATTGTTAGTGACTTTATAGGACAGCTTCTGTGATGTGAAGTTGTTGGGAACCCAATTTGAGGGATTCAAAAAGGTTGTTTGCAATGAGGTGGTTATTTAACTAAATTGTAACAGCACGTTCCAGAATTTTTACAAGAAAGGGTAAGTTGGAGATAGGGTATAAATTGTTTAGATTGTCTTTTTTGGCATGGGGGTAATGGCAGCACTTTTGAGAACCATTAGTACAGCACCAGTGCTCAATGCAGAGAAATGTGAAACAGGATTGAAATAGAGTGGTGGAATGGGATCTAATAGCTGATACAAAATACATGTATAAGTAAGTAAATTTAGAATTCCCAAATATTTTTTATTAGTTAGTTAAGTACAGATTAGTCAGTAATACATTTTGTCTCAACATACAGCACACACGAGAAATCACACAAGGAGAATGAGGAAGTGTGGGATGACATTTTCTATAGCTGGTTGTATCCAGGATTTAAAAAGACCTTGCAACTGGCTGAGTTACATTAGCAGAGGTGGGCTTTCTTGCATTCAATGCAAAGGGAAACTAGTAATTTGTTTGGTGCCAAGCCATTTATGAAAGGCCCTTTTTGATGTGCTAATTGCACTATTTAATTTTCTTAAAAAATATAATTTGTATATTAAAGTGAAAATGTTTTCAGATATCTTTTTAAAAATCAAACTGAATTTGATTTTCCATGTTATTAGTACTGGGCTGTAATGTACACACTAAGACCTGCATATTGATCTGTCTCCCATCCACTACTGGTGAAACGTGCCAAGATAGCTGCACAAGCTCCAGCTCATCAGTTGTTGCTTCTGGCTACAAAGAAAAGCACACAGTGTATTTGTCACGATCGTAATCCCTCCTCTTACGGGCGTTCCAGCTCTTTCACATTTTAGTTGATTATGTGCACCTGCCTCCAATCCTGCCCCTCCTTATTTAAGGCGGGCACTCTCGCTACTCTGGGCCGGCCTACCACCAAGTTGCCCTACGTCTGCGGCTTGAGGGCATAGCAGCGTCCTGACCCAGATGAGTCCGGGGCTCAGAGCGCCTGGCCCCATCATCCCATTTTTATTCCTTTTCCCAGCACTTGATCCCATTCCAGTTTTTATCCTTGTCTAGTTTTTGTTTCAAATGGATCTCCTGGCTATGGACTTTTGGACTGCTTCCTGGTTTCCCCTTCTGGATAGTTTTGGATTTGTTCGCCTGTGCCACCCCCCCCCCC